CCTCCCCGTTTGGAGTCCCTGGAATCATCCAGAGTTGCAATTTTTTAGCAGTGTCCAACCCAGCCCCCTCTACTGTTTGCAGTAAAGAGTCACAGAAGGACCAGCTGATCTGTTCTAGTCTGGGCCTGAGCAGGACATGGTGTGTGCTGCTCTGTTCTCTGGCCATCACACTGGGTCTGAGGAGCTGGACAGGGACTTACTGCTCTCCACCCTTCTGGGAAGGGCTGAGGGCCTTGGGGGCTTCTGGCCACCAGCTTGGGGTATAAGCAGTGTCAGTGTTACAGCAGCTCAGCAAGTTGCAGTTATTGAAAAGCAGTAATCAAGGATATCTGACTGCAGGTTTGTTCTGACTCCAGGCTTGCTGAGCTGAGGTAGCACTGTTGCCATTCCCTCCCCAGGCATTTCTGACTGCAGCCTGTGTCCTGTTTGTTCCCTTTGCAGGGGCTGGTGCACATCCTGATGGAGCGAAGGAGAGCTTTTGTGAGTAGCCCTGGTGTTCCACTGCTCCTGAACTTGGCTTGGGGTGACGGGAGAGGAACTTCTGAGTAGTGGAGAAGCACCAGCACTTCCCTGGGTATTTCTTCTCTCTGATTTGGTGTACACCTAGTACTGATGTTTTCCCCCACCTTTGCTTTTCCAGGCAGCCCTTGGTCAGGCTTTCAGCCCTCTGTTTCTGGTAGCACCTGAGCAGATCATGCCTTGGCTACACGAGTACCACAACCACTGTGAAGAGATTCTCGGAGACATCAGGTGAGTGTTCTGTGTGGTGTGTGGAGAAAAGTCCTTGCTGGGTCCTTATTTAAGGCAAAACCCGCCATCCATTCCCCAGCCCCTTCACTGGAGGTGACTCTGAGTCCTTCCACTGCCTGTAGAATGAGGATGTGCAGTTTGCAGAGGGCAGGATACAGTTTGTTACTCAGCTGTGCTGCTTAATAGAGGCTCACAGGCAGGCTTCCCTTCTCTGTGGGAAAAGAGAGCTGGGCAGGTGGGAGAGAGAGTATTTGACAGTGGGAAAGAGGTGGTTGGAATAGTTACTGGGGCACCAGTGAAAGCAGGGGGAGTGACAGACAGGTGAACCAAAGCACACCTTACCCTGGTTTGTGAGGTGCTGAACGGAGGAGGAGAAACGGGAGAAATCAGCCGCGTAAAAATTAGATCGGGTTTTACTTTGTGCCTCTCCTTAGTTCTCTCTTCTTCCTTCCCTCGCAGAATGATTCCTTCTCAGTCTCTTGTGAAAGGCTGTGAGAACATCAGACCTAAAGCCAAGGAGTTTGTGAGCTCTCTGTTAGAGAGCTACGACCTGGCTGAGGTAAGTTCCTGAGCTGGGGGCTCCGTGGCTGTGAGGGGCAGGAGAGGACCTGGGCTCTAACACTTGTGTCTGTGTTCAGTTTCAGACCTGTGAAGTCCAGCACTGTAAAAATGCTTTTGCATGTTCATTGATCCACAAATCTGGCTGGAAAGTAGTCTACTCTGGGGACACAATGCCCTGCATGGCCTTAGTGCGAATGGGTAGGTGACAGAACCTTCTGCTCGAAGAGTCTCTTGGAGAAGTATCTGACATGGGCACCCCCAAACCCTTGGAGCTGTGCCTGCCATGCAGTGAGGGGCTGAGGGGGGAAAAGGAGAGCTCATATAGGCAGTTGAACTAGTCAGTCTTCAACTGAAAATTGAATATATGATGGTTTACACAGGTAAAGATGCCACCCTGCTGATCCACGAAGCCACGCTGGAAGATGGCCTGGAAAAAGAAGCTATAGAGAAGACCCACAGGTGGGGTGTGTTCTGCTGTCTGTCCCTGTTAAGAAGGGAAATGTGCTGAGCTGGGTGTTTTCTTGGAGCTGGGGGTGAAGGGCCCAAGTCCTGCAGAAGGTTCTGGTGTGTGTAGAGCTTTTCCACACTAAAAATGGTGTGTTGCTAATTGCAGCAGCTCTGTAACCATTGCAGCTCCTCTCAACATCCCCCAAAATAAATGGGGAAAGCTGTCAAGTAGATAGTAGTAACTCTACCCCCTGCTTGATTACATCTTGGACCTAAGCTCAGGGGGTAGAAGGGTCGTCCTCCCCTTGTAACTAAACGTGCAATTCCAGTGAGTTCTGCAGCCAGGGATTCCTCACGCTGTCCCCAGCAAACAGGGGGAAACCTGAGAGCAGCTGCATGGAATTACCTGCAAATCACAGTGCAAGAGAGCTGGGCGTGCTGGGACTTCTGGGACAAGTGTTTGAAAAAGTCCCCGTCCCCAGGGACTTGTGGAGCTCTTAAATGCAGACCTCCAAGTAATTACAGCTGTTTTCCTGCCCTTTGGAAGTCAGAAACTTGCCCCCAGGGCAGGCTGCCCCGGGGAAAGGAGCAGGGTGTGCCTGTGGGGACCCTTGGGCCCAGCAGGGGTGAGGTCACTTGGTGTGATGTGACCTGTGTGCAGGGCAGCCTGCCCTGCCTGGGTGTGACCAGGGAGTGCTCCTGCTTCCTTTGCAGCACGACCTCCCAGGCAATCCAGACTGGGATGAAGATGAATGCAGAGTTCATCATGCTCAACCACTTCAGCCAGAGGTACGCCAAGATCCCGCTCTTCAGCGAGGACTTCAGCGACAAGGTTGGAATTGCCTTCGACCATATGAGGGTGAGTTGGGAGCTTGGGGCCAGGCCATGGGCTTGCAGTGTTACTTTAGGATGGCTGCTCATGATTTAAATTCTCCAGTTGTCTTGATATTCCATCTCCTGAAGAGCAGTCTCCTCTGAAACAGCTCCTTTAACTGCTGACAGCAGACATCACCAATGTGGGGAAGGGGTGGCACAGGGTGAGGCAGGTGCTGATGGCTCTTGAATCCGACTCTTAACACACTGACTGGGTACTTCCCTCATGCACCTTAAGTCTGTGCTTTCTACTCCCAGCCAAAAACCTAATTTTGCTTCCATCCGCATTCCCTTCTCAATTTGTGTGCTGCTTCGATGGCTTTCTGCAGCAGACATCTGGGAGGCAAAAGTTGCTACCGTTGGGCTGCAGGCAGTTGTGGCAGTGAGGGCAGCTCCCTGTCAATCAGAACTTGTACTGGTTCACGATATTTCTGTGAAGAAAATGTGAATAACTTGTCGAGCCAGTGCTGCTGGGTGCGGGTGTGCACACAGGGAGGGGCAGCGCCCTGCCGTCTGCACAGGCCGCAGGCAAGGGGCAGGAAGGGAAACAAAAAGCAGTTCTCATGCAGGTGCTCTTGTGTGTTAGGTACGTTTCGGTGACTTTCCAACCATCCCGAAGCTGATCCCGCCGCTGAAGGCTCTGTTTGCAGATGACATTGTGGAAATGGAGGAACGCAAGGAGAAGCGGGAGATGAGGCTCCTGAAGGAGACATCCCTGGTCCTGGACAGACTGACTGGGGGGGAGAACACGGGGGCAGCGTGCCAGAAACGGAAACAGGCCAGGAACCACCAGGAAGTACCAGACAAGAAGCTTAAAACAGTAAACTGAGAGAGACACGGCTGGGAATGCTCTGCTCTCAGAGAGATTCCTTGCTCTCCGCAGGCCTCGGGAGCACGCGGTGCCGCCGGCACAGCAGGAAGGGGGCTGGCCTTGGTTCTGGGCTTGCTTGGTCAGCATGGACCTCCCTGGACTGCAGCTCCAGCGTCTGCCAGCAGTTCCAGTCCTTGTGGAGGCAGGATCTGCCACACAGCTCCTGTTCCAGGGTCTCACCAGGCCATGTGGCATTCTTCTTTTAGCTTGAAGTTCTTCTCTCTGAACTGTTTTGATTTTGAGGTTTATGCTAAAAGCTATTGATAAAGTAACAGCAGCGGGTGTGACCTTTGCAAGAGATCAGGGTGTGAGAGGCCCTGAGGGGCCACGGATTTGCCAGAAGACAATGGGCAGGTCTCAGTGATGGGGGATGATGGGGGATGTAACCAGGTATCAGAACCCAGGTGACAGGAGGAAAATTAACAGTAAAATGGAACCCAGTTACTTTTTAGGTTAAATTAGGAGTGACAATACATCTATACATCTGTGTTCCCATTTTATTTTGATTTTCTCCACTGATTTTTTTTTCAAAAGGTCAGCTTTCCAAACCCTTTATTTAGAATCTGAATAAAGCACTCACTGTCCTCCAGGAAGCTGTGTTGTATCTGGATTACTAACGAGGAAACAAACACCTGGGTTGCTCCAGAGAGTGGCCTTGTCTGTCTGATTTTGCATTACAGCATTGGGATAAAGACCAAGATCTTGCCTGTCAGGTCTGGATCATGCTGGAGTGTCATGCCTGTGTTTTGTGCCAGAACAATCCTCTCTGCCTCTTTTACCCTCTAGACAGGAGCTTTGCGTGTCAGCCCACGCTGGTCCCAATGAGTGGTGGCTTTTGAATGACTGGATCAGACTGGGAGTTTCCTCGAGCAGATTCCAGTTCTGGGTGCAGGGAACAGGAAAGTTGGCAAAGCAGGCAGAAAGGGGGGAGGTCTGTGGATAAGAGGAGTTTTCTGAGGCTTTCTGTGGGTCATCTCTCCTTCTTCCCTTCCCACTGCTGCAACTGCCTGTGTTTGGAAGCAGGAGGGGATCTCTGTGCTGCTTGAATTGAGTTCATTTTTGGAGGCAACTTGAAGTCACACAGCCCCCAGGCCCTGCTCAGCAAATGATGCCAGCACATAGTAAAGACTTCATTTTAAGGTGATGGGAAATTAGGAAACAAACTGGAAGCAAAACATCTTTTTTTTTTTGATGATCTGAGCTTTGATATTCTGCTTGTCTAAAGCAGAGACGGTAACTGACAGCTGGGTCCTGCAGAAAAACTGCTGGGCTTTTAGGAATAGCCCTCAGGGACTGGGGAAAGACTGAGCAAGGACCTGTTACTGGGCAGGTTTTTGTAGGAGTGGGTTGAGGTGCCCAGGAGAGGGTCTGGTTACTGCTGGGCTGAGACAAGCAGCCCTGGGCCTGCACAGGATCCCTGTGCTGCTTTTCATGGAAGGAAAGAAAGGTCTTTTATCTGGAAAATAATGAAACACTTGTCACATTGGGTATTAATAAAATGCAAATCCAGCAGTGGCAAGAGCCCCCAGCACACGGGATCCAGCTCCAGGTGGTCGATGTTTGTCCAGTGGGGTCGGGGAGCAGCACGGGGGGTGATGGACGGGACCTGTCTGTGCCCGGTGTGGAAAAATTCCCCGGGCTGTGCTCTGAGCTGCCGCGGAGCGAGCCCGGCTGGAGAACTGCTCTGGAGCTGCAGCGGGGACACAGTGAGGGGAACGGGCCGGAGGAGGAGCAGGAGAGAGGAGGCTGGGACCGCCCTCGCTTCCCGGCGGGACACGGGAGCGCTCCCGGGAGTCGCCCGGGCAACGGCGGCTCCTCCCGCAAACACTGCGGTGCGGGCGGGATGGATGCGGCGGAGCCCGGCGGGGAGCGCGGGGCCGTGGGGCCGGAGCCCTTGGAACCCTCGGAGGACCCCGGTGCGGGGGGCCCGGAGCCCTCGGAGCCCCTGGAGCCCCCGGATCCCCTGGAGCCCGTGTGCGAGCGGCTGTGGCGGGGCGCGGCGCGGGCTCTGTCGGTGCGGGCCGAGCGCGGCGCGGGGGCGGCGCGGGCGCTGCGCGGGTTCGTGCGGGGCGCGGCGGGGCCGGCGCTGCTCGCCTGGCGCGGCCCCGGAGGGGAGCTGGAGCTGCGCCCCGGGCCGCCCCCGCCGCCCCCCGCCGCCAGCAAGGCCGTGTTCTTCCTCCGCCCGCCCGGCGCCGGCCCCGCGGAGCTGCTGTGCGGGGACCTGCCCGCCGACCCCCTGGCGCACTTCGCCGCCCTCCTGGAGGAGGTAAGGGGGGCTGAGGCTGTAGAGCCCCCTAAAAGAAACTCCTAAATCCTGACCCGCGGTGCTTCCGGGCTGTCTCGTAGAGGTGTGGGACTGACCCGCGATACAGAATCACGGGACGGATTCCTGAGAATCCGAGAAGCTGTGGCTGCCCCATCCCTGGAATTGTCCAAGGCCAGGTTGGACGGGGCTTGGAGCAACTTGGTCTAGTGGAAGGTGTCCCTGCCCATGGCAGGGGGTGTAACGAGATGATCTTTAAGGTCCCTTCCAACCCAAACCATTCTGTGATTCTGTGACAGTCAGTGCTGGAAGGGACATCTCAGCGCCATCTGGTCCAAGCCCCTCCTCAAGCCAGGCCACCCAGAACCAGAACCAGTTGCCCAGGACCACATCCAGGTGGCTTTTGAGTATCTCCACAGATGGAGACTTCACGGTCTCTGGGCAGCCTCTGCCAGCACTTGGTCACCCTCACCATCAGAAAGTGTTCCCTGATGTTCAAAAGAGCCTTCTGCTGTTCAGTGCACAGTTACCTCAGGTGGGCTGATGTTTCTCCAAAGGGATCTTCAAGAGGTTTAAGAACTCTCTCCTTCCTGTGTTAGTAGCCTGACCCAGACAGCACTGTCTGAATTTATTCCCGATGGCCCCTGGCCTGGAGAAGTCCCAGCAGGAGGCTGTAAGGGACAGCAGAGGAACTCCTTGCTTTGCAGAGCTCAGATGATGCTGTTGGTATATTGGGATGGTGACTCATCCTGGATTCCCAAGAGCAGGCTGGCAGGCTGGCTCTCAGGGTTTTGTAGGTTAACACATTATGTACATGGGGAGCCCTTCTTCCAAGGTGTTGGATGAGCCCTGGGGTTTGGAAAGCTGGCTCAAGCAGCAGTTTCTGCTCTATCTGTGGGCGCTGCTGGGAGCCATGGTGGGCATTGCAAACACCATCTGCTGCAGGGAGGTGCTGGGGTAGGAACACTCCCCAGGTCTTAGATGCTGCTTTCTGGCTGCCCTCAGCACCAGGTTTTGCACATCCCAGCTGCAATTGCAGACTTTGGTCCCTCCCCTGTGCAGGCAGATGTGGTATTTCCATAGGGAGCAGGTTGTGCCTGGATTTGTTCTCATTTTTTATGGTTAACAGAACGATGGTGCCAGGCCAGGGGCTGGGGTGGGTCTGTGTGAAAGAAGCTTTTGTCACAAGTTTTTAGGACAGTCTTAGAAGAATTTTTCAGTGAAATAAACATTTTGTGTCAAACTCTCTGTGGGTTGTTTGGGGCACCAGGAACTGACCCACCAAACCATGTCTGTGGGTCACAGCTGTGGCCACCTCATCTGCTTGTGACACCTACCCCTTGTGATGGCTGCAGGGGGCACACGTTGGTGCTGTGGGGCTGGGGGTTCACTGGGGGCCAAGTTGTCATTTTAACAATCCAAAAGAAAATGAACAGCTTATTTGACTGGTTATGACGTTAGTCTCATTAGCAGTCCATGTGATTTGAGTAATAGAGACAAATCCTGCTAGAAGTGCAGCTGAAGCCATTGAAGGGGAGCTCTCTGGGTCTGCCTCTGTGCCCTGGGGTTGTGCCCCCCTTCCCAAGGCTCCCTGGGCACTGTGGTTGCTGCTGCTGGTCTTCCTCAGGCGTGAGGCAAAGAATCTTCAGCACCCCGGGACGGCACCTGGTGGTGCTGGGCTGCTTTGTTCCTTTTTAATTCTATGTCCGTTTGTATCTGGTTTTATATCTTTAGCCTCCCTGAAGCCTGGTCACACAAAGGCTGTTTGTCACCAGGGACAACCTGGCTCCAACCCCAGAGCCAGCCCGGGGGGGTGACAGGCACTGTTGCCATCACAAACAAGCAGAAGCAGCTCAGGTCCAGGCAAGCCCAGCCCAGCCATGAGCATGGTGCTGGGTCAGTGCAGACCCTGCAACTTCACTGGTAGAGACAGAAATCATATTTAGTGGGCTGCAACCTCAGAAAATAACCTAAAGAGTGGCTGTGCTCGAGGCTGGCAGTGTGGTTGGGGTGGGGATGGAGGAACCCTCAGCAGCAGTAGATCCCAGGAGGTACCAGAAGACCTTCCATCTCTGCACACAGGGGGGTTCTGTGCAGGGACAGCCCTTGGGTTGGGGGGTCAGCACGGGGAGATGTGGGAAAAGCACAGGACAAGACTCCACAGAGCTGTCTGTAGTTGCAGGTTTGAGAGGCTGGGAGAGCCCGAGGATGGGTCAGCTCACTTTGTCTGCTGGTTTCCACCCTTCTCAGCTGCCTGGATTCAGGGGAGAGGGTTCACCAGGAACAGTGTAGGCTGGAGGTCCACCTGCCCTTGTTTCTTATAGGCAGGGAACTACTTGGGACAGTGATGAATATGGATCTCCAGGCTTGGCCAAGTCAGGACTGTGGAGCCTGGTGGCCTCTCTGTCTCCTGCAGCACTTTTGCTCAAAGAATCATCCAATCACATCATGGTTTGACTGGGAAGGGACCTTAAAGATCATCCAATTCTGACCCCCTGCCACGGTTCTGACACCTTCCACTAGCCCAGGTTGCTCCAAGCCCCGTCCAACCTGGCCTTGGACACTTCCAGGGATGGGGCAGCCACAGCTTCTCTGGGCAACCTGTACCAGGGCCTCCCCACCCTCACAGGAAAAAATTTCTTCCTACTGTCCAATCTAACCCTGCCCTCCTTCAGCTCCTCTCCATTGCTCTTCCATGACTCCTGCTGTAGGTGATTGTGCCCATCCTGACCAACCGGAAGAACCACCAGGGCTGGCCACGAGTGGTGTCCCAGGACATCATCCGTCATGTCCACAACCTAAAAAAAACTGTTTTCATGGTTGTTGGCCAAGTAAAGGGCAGGACCTTGCTGCCTCTTCCAGCTGGCTCAGAGGGAATCGAGGACATTGATCCAGAAAACGAGAGATTGTGAGTATGACCCTGTGTGGTTTTATCTCCTGAGTGGGATAGAATGGGGAGTTACTGCTTCCAAGGCAGAGGGGTGACCTGACCTCTCCCACTCTGTGTCCTTTCTCTCTGAATTAAGCAAGTGAAGGACTGTGGGACGGTAGAATAGATGCAGGGAGAACAGAATGGGGAGAGAGAGACTTGCTGGGGGTACAGCTCTGCAGGTCAGGCCCTGAACCCAAAGGGATCTGGTGTGACAGTGGCTGTGCAGGGGTGGCAGCTGGCTCTTTGTGGGGATTCACTTCATGACCAGTGTGTTGTTGCCCACTCTGCTGTGGAGCTTCATCCATTTCCTTCAGGCTGTAATTCCCGTTTAAAACAAAGACAAAATCTTATGGGTTTGATTGTTTTGTGGCTGTGACACATGAATCTAGACTGTAACTGCAAAATCCAGCTGCCCAAGGGGTTGTTTGAGCTGGATCTGCATGGATGAGTGGAAAGCCAAGTGATCCATGAGGTTTGTTTTGTGCAGCCTGGAGCTGATTGATAAATCCCTCGTCCATGCCACCGAGTCAGCCATCATTGACTGGAGCCACCAGATCCAGAGAGCCCTGAAGAAAGAGTCCTCAGAGCCTCTCCTGCAAGGCAGCAACCCGAACCCAAAGGTGGAACTGGAATTCTGGAAGAACAGGTACCCTGTGGTGGGCACTGTGCTGGGTTGGGTGCAGGGCCCTGCTGGTGCAGACAGAGCTGCTGCTGCTGTCAGCCAAGAAGAGCAGCTGCTCGGGGTCATGCAGAGACCTGAGCTGAGGAAAACTGGTCCCACACATGAAATAATGATGATCTCCAGGTGCCTGGGAGCTGCTGGGCAGCTGGCGGGGTTTAACTGGGCCCCAGCACAGCTCAGGGCTACAGCATGAGGGAAGCTTTTTGGAAATGCTCTTTCCATCACTGTTCACTGGGAACCAGCCCCAGAGTGCAGCTGATGGATACCTTCTGTGCCCTCAGCTGGCTGCTGCTGGGCTGTTGGTGCCAGAGTGGGGTTAGATGAGCCAGGGAGTGGAATTTGATCCTGCCCTTTGGAAACCTTTGTGCCGTGTTGGCTCAGGCTGACCCGGGACAAAGCCCTGCCTGCTGCACAGCTGTCACTGGTGCCTGCAGAAACATCACATGGCTCCTTCCAGCAGAGCCCTGCCCCCAGCAGAGCTGCTCTCATGCTCACTCCCAACATCCCTGGCTGTCCTGCAGGGTGGGTCCTGTTCCCTGTCACCGCTGGGACTCAGTCCCTGTGTAGCTGGAGGAGATCCTGGATCAGGCCCAGGGGAAGTGGGTGGTGTGGAGGGACAGCTGATGCTGCCCCAGCATGGGCTGGTGACCTGTCTTGGCTGCTGCAGGTGTGATGAGCTGGAATGCATTTATGACCAACTGAGATCAAGGAAGGTCAGGAACATGATAGAGGTGCTGGAGAGAGTGAAGAGCATCTATGTCCCAGCCTTCAAAACCATGCTCAGGGATGTTGAGGCAGGTGAGATGCTGGGACAGCTTCACCATGGTGCTGACTGCTGACCCCACAGCTCAGCAGCTCTCACCGCTTCTCCCATCTCTTCCCACAGCTCTGGCCGAAGCTCAGGACATCCACCTGCACCTGACACCCCTCCAGGACCCCCTGGAGGACATAGAGGCTGTTGAGTTCAGCAAAGTGAAGCCTTTCCTGGTCACTCTGCTCCACATGGTGTGTTGGATCTGGGTCACTTCCAAGCACTACAACGTGGCTGTGAGGATCATAGTTCTGCTCCAGGAAATCTGCAACCTGCTCATCCAGCAGGTGTGTGTCTGTGGCCCCTGTGTTTGCCATGGGAAGTTCTTTATGAAAGTCTCTTCTTTCCTCCTTTCCTCCATCCTTCCCTGGCAGAGTGATTCTGAATTTCAGAGGCAGGGTCAGACATGTTCAGTGCAAGAAGTCACTGTTTGCTGTGCTCTCAGGTGTGATTTTACTCTTCCAGGCCGTGGTGTACCTGTCTCCAGAAGACCTTCTGAAAGGAGAGATGGAAGAGAGCCTGGGCAAGGTGCAAACAGTGCTTGACATCCTGAATGGCTTCAAAGGGGTGTTTGAGGAGAGACGGGAAAATCTGCACATGTATTATGAGCCAGGCCAGGAAGTGAGGAAGTGGGACTTCCACTCCTGGATGGTGTTTGCAAGGCTGGACAGCTTCCTGGAGAGGCTGGAGATGGTGAAGGTGAGACTCTGGTCTTGAAGAGTATTGCAGGCCATCAGGAGAGCTCTGTAGCCATGAACTCATTCGCTGGTATCTTCCTTCCCTGTGGCCTCCCCTGATGGCAGGGAATGGGGCTGCTCTTTGCACTGTCCCATCTCCCATTGCATCAAGGCCAGGACCTTGTTTGACCAGGTCTTGCTTAGTGCCTTTGTCAGATAAACTGCTGTGTCTCCTTCTGCTTGGGTTGGTCAGTGCTCCCAAGAGTCCTCTTGGACTCTGTGCTCCTGTTGGAGCAGGGGATGGGGACTTTGGGGCTGTAAATAACCCAGTACAAACTCCTGGGCCTCTTGAGGCCTTCAGAGGCACTCTAGGGCTGGGTCTTGCCTGACTTGGAGAGGCCATAAGCTCCCCTTGAGCCTGGGCACCACTTGGTCTCTAAGATCTCCCCAGAGCCGCCTTTTCTTGAGGCTGAACAATCCCAACTCTCTGGAATTGATGGTTTCCAGTAGGATTTGGTGTGCAGGTAACCAAACCGTGCTGGCTGGTGCAGAGAGTAGTATCAGTGGACACAGGGGCAGCCGTGTCCTGGGCTGGGACCCCTTTGGCAGCCCCGTCTGGGAGGTGCTGCCCAGGTGCTGCCTGCCTGGGGGTGAAGCTCCATACCTGCTCAGCTCAGCTTTTGGGCTTGTCCCTGAGCTCACAGCAAGCTGGACAGCCAGCAGGACAGTCCTGTGCTGGAGATCAGAGCATTCCTCCTGCTCCTCTGGGAAAGCAGACCTTGTTTAGCCTGAGCAAAAGGAATGGATGGGGTGGGAGGGGGCAGAGCTGCCACAGCTGGGTCAGTGGGGCACCTCCTGAGAGCTGGCACTGTGGGACCAGGCCCTGCCCTGCTCCCCTGCCACCTGAGGTTGAGAAGGAAGGACCTGTGTCCTTTCAGCAGACAAGGCCATCTGGGCAGGGGCAGTGACACCTGCGTGGGCACAGGGAGCTGTGGCTGAGCAGGAGCCTTGGGCAGTTCAAGTACTGTAAATATCAGAGGCCCCTTCTTGGTTAATACTCCTAAAATTGGGATTCTTAGCTGTGCTGGATGATGTCTCAGGGTCTCACACGCTGCTTTGTATCAGTCCTCTGAACACCCTTAAAAACAATTGAAGGTGTATTGCTGGTGGCAGCACATGGCCCTCTGGGGAGGGGTGTGCTGTGAGCAGGGCTTGGCCCAGGACAGGTGGGACCTGGCTCCCCATTCCCAGTGGTGTCACTCCCCCGTTGCCTGGGGAGGTCTTTCAGCAGGGCAGCAGACACAGCACAGTGCTGTGACAACTGTTGTCATCTTCTTTGTCACCACCTGACCCTGTGTGTGCCCCCTCTGGCTCTGCAGGGTCTCCTGACCACGGCCTTGGACCTGACAGAGCTGGAGAAGATGGAGTTCAGCGGGGTTAGAGGGAGGGCCCTGGGCCAGCAGGTGCTGGACATGTATGAGGAGTTCCAGGAGGCCTACAGGGTGTTTGCAGAGCGAAGCTACGACTGCCTCGACCTGGCCAACACGGTAGGTGGGAGCAGCCTGCAGGGGCACCAGCAGGACATCTGTGTTCCCAGAGCAGCAGCTCCCTCAGTGATGGGTGCCCTGGCTCCTGCTGGTTCCTTCCCAGCTCCTTCCTTGTGATCTGATTTGTCACTGAAGGGAACAGGGAGCTGCTGGCCTTTCCTGCAGAGATTTGGGAGTTCTTGCAGCTCCATATCTGGTATACGTTGTTGGTTCAGGACCTTAGACCAGTGCAGATGGGAACCTGAATTCCCCTGCCTTTCCCCAGCTTTCCCTGCTGGTGTGTCTGACCTGTGCCAGCATCCCCATCCCTTTGCTTTCCTGCTTTCCTGCTTTGGTGCCTGGTTTTGTGATGAGGGCCAGCTCCACAGTCCCTGGGGACGTGTTGCTCCTGTCTGGATAAACATGTGGCATCTCAGCTCTCAGAATTCAAGGACTCCATGTTTGATTATCAGTAGTGCTTTAATTAAAGGAATATTCCTGCCCTGTGGGTCATGGCTTCATGGCCATGGGGTCACAGATACTTGTGTGGCACACACAGGGCAAAGCCAACGTGCCATGGAGAGCCAGACTGCTCAGAGCTCCTGCCCCAGGCTGTGACACCAGCAGGGAGCTGTGCAGGAAGGGTGGGAATGGCATTTCCCAAGGGATCCATGTCCCACAGTTGTGTGGGATCTCAGAGGATCTCTGATTTCCTCTGCTGCTTCCCTGTTTGCCCTGGGGTCAGTTTGCTGTGGCTGGTGAGCAGGACATGGTCAGGCCTGTCCCCACACCTGGAGGAGGGAGGGACAGAGCTGGGGTAGGCTGAGGGCAGCTCTGTGTGAGGGGCTCCAGGTTACACTGGGGCAGCTGAGGGGGGCTGGGCTGGGGGTGGGACCTGGGGCTGGGAGACTTTCCTTTGGTGGTGGGACCTCTCTGCTGTGGGGATGGGTGGCTCGTGCTTTGCTCCCTGTGGCTCCTGGTCCACCTTTGCAGTGGGTGCCACATCCCTGGTGCTACCTGGGACAATCCTGCTGGAAAGCCCCTTGCTCCATGTTCCCTCTCCTTCAGGAGGGAGGGCTCTGAAGGAGGGTGACAGTGTGACAGTGGCTCTGCAGGAGCTGGTTTGGTTCCAGTGACCCTGTGGTGTGTTGTGTGACTCTGAGCTGTGCTTGTTCTCTCAGTGGTTGAGTTTTGTACTCTCTGTTACTCTCTAGAGCCTCTTTTTAGCTCAAACATGGCATCTGTTGCTGCTGGAGCTGAGCAGTGATACCAGCAAAAGCTGTTGCCTTATGCTCTGTCCTTCCAGAAAACAGACACATGGCCTCATTTTTGTTGGCTTTGCCCAAGCCAGGGCAGAAGCCCTGAAGTCTCCCTGTTTGTCAGGTTCACACTTTGATTTGGACTCTTTTACCTGCAGGAAAACAAACCTGGATTTTACATTTGAACTTCAAAGGGTTTATTCCAACTGGGGCAAGAGGAGCAGTGCCAGAGGCTGATGGGAATCACAGGAACACAGAACTGCTGGGGTTGGACAGGACCTTTGGAGATCACCCAGTCCACTTCCCTGCTCAAAACAGGCACAGCTGGAGCAGGGCTGGAACCAGATCAATATCTCCAAGGCTGGAAGTGTCCAAGAGTGGGAACTCCACAGCCCCCTTGGGCAGCCCATGCCAAGTGGTTTGGAACTGCCTTTGTTGTTGCCCCACTTGGAGTCACCTGACTAACAGAACCATGGGGATGTTTTGGCTTGAAAGTAGGTGGGATTTGCAGCTCAACAAGTGCATCTCTGGGTTTTTTGGATGATGGTGTGGTGTTCAAAACAAGTGCAGGGTAAGAGAGTGTGGGAAAAGGTCTGTCTTGCATCTAGGTTGAAGTTAGTACCCCTTGGACTGGGGATCCATCCTGGAGGGCCCTGGTCCAACCATGGGACAGGAGTGTCTCGACTCCGTGGGACTTGGCTGGAGGTTGGCCAGAGAAGTGGTTTAATTCTTGGTGAATAAGAAGAGGAAATATCTCCCTGGTCTCTGTGTCTCACAGCTCACTGTCCCCCTTCCCCCAGGAGTTTGAGCAGGATGCCTTGGGTTTCCAGCAGAAAGTAGAAGACATCGACCATCGGCTGGGCACTGTGTTCACCCAGGCCTTTGATGACACCTCGGACTTGGAGCACATCTTCAAGGTTGGTGTGTCCCCTCCCTTGTCCCAGTTTGCCTTGGGGAGTGACAGCTGGCCTGTCCCAGGCAGTGCTGGAGGCACATGGGGCTGGGCAGGGGGACAGTGACACTTGGAGCTGCTGGGCTGGACTTGGTGAGTGATGCTCAGGCCTGTGGGTCCCTCATGAGCTGTGCAGCCACGGTGGCTGTGGAAACCTGGGGAGTGTTCCTGCTCTTCCCATTAAGACACAAACAGAGCAGACCTTTACTCAGTTTGAGGAAGAGTAGTCAAAGGAATTACTCAAATCAGGCTTTGGGATGCCAGAAGTTTTACTGGTCTCTCTGTGAGCTGGAGGAAATGATGCTTTGTCCAGGATTTTCAAGGCCAGGTTGGACAGGGTTTGGAGTAACTTGGTCTGGTGGAAGGTGTCCCTGCCCGTGTCAGTGGGGTGGAATGAGATGATCCTTAAAATCCCTTCCAACCCAAACCATTCTGTGATTCTCTGATTTCCTGATGAGAACTGCTGTTAAACCCAGATGATCATTGTTAATATCAATTCGTTGTTTTAGTTAACACATGGATGCATTTCTACTTTGAAAATTGAGGTTTTTTTAGAAACAAGGCTGGTTTGTTTACCAATGAATCCATCCTGCAGAGAAAGTAAATGTATTTTCTGAAAAATTTCAATATAATTGTAGAAAAGACTATAGAAAGTGATAGAAGTGCTAGTATTTATCTTTCTGAGTTTTTTTTTTAATAATAAATTTTGAAGCATTTGAAGAATGACAGTGGGAATATGGTTCACCCCCAGAGAAAGTCTGAGCATCTCTCATATTCTCCATGATGTGGTTTAGTGGGCATGGTGGGATTCGGTCAAAGGTTGGACCTAACGGTCCTGGAGGTCTTTTCCCACCTTAATGATTCTATGAAAGGGAGGAACTACTTGGAAAAGCAGGGGGAAAAATAATTCCCTTTGCCAAAGTGCCCATCAGCGCAGACTTTCGGACTACTGAGGAAGATGAAGCATCTGGGTCAGTGAGGAAAATCCCAGTGGGTCTCTTCGCAGAAGTGTGAATTTTTCCCCATTTGTTTCCCTGCTTCTCCCCCTCCTCAGTTGCTGACCATGTTCCAGAGCCTTTTGGAGCGTCCAGTGATCGCTGCAGTTGCTGCTGACAAATGGCCTCTGCTCATCAGCATGTTCAGCACTGCCCTGGACCAGACCAGGCTCATCTACTCCAGGCACACCCAGGCAGGGCTCGAGCTCGGTGGGTGCCCTGTGCTGAGGAAAACTGACTTTACAGAAAGTTGGATTTACATTAATTTGGGGGGAAAATAATTTGCTTTTGCTAAGGAAATTAGGACTTTCCAAATTGCAAAGGTTTTCAGCCTCTATAGCTCCCTGTGGAAATGGAAATGTCTGGGAATGCTCTGTTCTTGGCATTAAAGCAAATAATCTGTTGAAATATTCTTTTTTAAAGGTATATGTGTGTGAGTGGGAATGAGGGCACGTGCTGAGCTTCTCCCTTGTAATGCTGAGTATGGAAGGGGGACTTGGGAATTAAGGGTTTTGGCACAGGAGGGAATGGGGAGACTCCTGTCAGATTATGAGGATTAGTGTGTCTTTTTGAACAGCAGCCCTTTTCCTTGCCTCAGAAAGACTGTTCTGGAACCAGGCAAGTCCTGAAGGGGCAGCACTGCTGGAACCAGTGCAGGTTAACAAAGGAGAATGAGTCCAGAATTTGCTGTGGATTTGGGGAGTGTTGTTCTGTGGGTGTTAGATGGGATGGTCACAAAGAGCTCGTGGGCAGAAATCCCTCTCCTGGTGTTTGTGGGGAGCAGGGAATGCACCTCAGGCACAGGATGCCTCGGTCAGCTCTGGTTCTACCACATGCTGGGCTTCTTCTGTGATCCCTCGTTTAGGGTCCAGGGGCACAGGGGGATTTGTCCCAGACCTACATCATGTAGCAGGATTTCAGGGAAGAAGCTGGGAAACCAGGGCAGTTTGTGCAGATGGATTCCTGTTGGTGTCTCTTTGGGATTACAGTGCCTGTTGGTGTATCTTTGGTGTATCTTTGGGGTTCCAGAGCCTGTTGGTTTATCTTTGGGGTTACAGTGCTGTGTTCAGTGAAATGCTGTCTCCATGTTCCCCCAGGGTCTCCCCCCCTGCACAAGAACATGCCCCCCGTGGCTGGAGCGCTGGGCTGGGCTCGGGAGCTGCGAGCGCGGATCCAGAGGCCTTTTGATCAGCTTAGGCACATCCCACACCTGTGAGTGTCTGCTCCAGATAAGTTGCTTTATGACCATCTTGAAATCTTGTCTCCAATCAATCCAATATTCTTTCTGAGTTGAACATTACCCAGTGGTTACAACTCGAACAATCCTCAGTGGCAGAGGTGTGAAGTGAGTGCACTGGTGCTGTTTGCTTCCCTGCCATCTTTTTTTTTTTAAAGAAACTCATTTATTGGGTTTGTTTTGAAGTGGGTAAGAGGCACAGTGGGGCACTTCAGCTTTCAGACCCAGTCCTAGGTTGCAATTGAAAGAAGTATTGGAATGAGAACGTGGTGCTGATAACACCAAGGTCATGGGTTTGATGTATGGGCCATTCATTTTAGAGTTGGACTTGATGATCTCTGTGGGTGCCTTCCAACTCAGAATATTCTGTGATGTTATGAGGCTCTTTCACACTGCAATCCCACTCAACCTGGTCTCCAGGACCTCCCTGGGAGCAGCCCAACCCTCGGGTACTGACAGAAGTCAACTTTCTCAGCATTAAACAGTCTCCCAAGATCAAGAAAATGAACCAGTGCTGGAATTCTCATCACCCAACAGTGACCTGCCATTCACCCAGCAGTGACCTGCCTGCAGTCTGGTGGGGTTTCTTGGGAAGGGGTAAATAGAGATTGCAGCCCATCAGGACTAAACATAGCACTGAGCTGCTCCCTTGTGTCTCCAGGTGCTTGGACTCTGCCCAAGGAAGGAGGGTGGTACAGAAATATGAGGAAATGATCCAACTGCTCGACAGGTAAGTGGGGCTCAGGTCCTGTGTGAGAAAACCTTCTCCTCCTCTAAGCTACCTTCCAGCACTTCTACCAGCCCAGGGCCTGGGAATGTCTCTTCCTAAGGCAGAGGGAGTCTTCTTCTGGGAAAGGAAGAGGGATCCTGTCACTGTGCACCACAGACTTCCTGGGGTGGCTTGAAAGGAGAATTCTGCGTGGAAGGAACAGAGGCTGTGCAGCCCAAAGAAACTTTGGACAAAGCTGCTGTGGGATGTAGGAGCTGCTGTGGTAGAAGGCTTGGGCTGGGCAGAATTCTTTACCTGCTCATACCCACTCACTGACAGTGTTTGCAGTGGCTGTAATGTTTGTATTCCACAATTTGGAGTGGGAGTCATTGCCCATTACTTGGCATCTCAGTGTTTCATGTTAAACTTGAACTATTTGCTCTGGGCTGACCCTTCAGGGGAGCCTCTTCCCCAGGAAGGAGATCCCTGCAGGGCCTCATCCCTGTCAGCAGTGAAGGCAGCTGAGGCCCCAGGCTGCTGGGTCCTGCAGGGTGGATGGTGGGAGCCCTGTTCCCCAGTACCAGAACAAAGCCTGGATAATGGATAATTAAGCACAGCCCTTCAGAAGGGAGCAGCCCCAAAGAGGGTCTGGGTGACCCAACAGAGTGCTGGTTTTTGGTGACATTTCCCAACCAAGGTGGTCAGATGACAACTTGATTCAGAAAAGACTTTGTTACTTGGGTGGATGGGACTGTCCATGGCATGTGAGGTACCAGGCCCCTGTTCTGCCCTCTGTGTTCCTATCCCAGTGGTGTCAAGGTCTCTCTGCACCGACTGGGAGAAGTGAGGGCAGCTGCAGCCACCCCCAGCATCCCTGTGGGTTTATGGCACCCACAAATGCCCATCAGCTGCTGATCTGCCACTTTTTAAATGCTTTAGAAAGTCTATTTCCACATCTGAATCCTCTGCTAAAACTGGTACTTGAGAGAGCTTTGTCCTCCTGCCTTCATGCTGTTACTGGTCTTTGGGTGTTTGTCTTGGAAGCCATGATTTTTAGGAAGATGGCATGGATGGGTTTTTAATATTCCTTCATGGTTTTAATCCTCAGATTGGACTTCCATTCAGTTACATGCCATGGTCTGCTGGCTTGGTAACCACACGGTGATGTTTTTCTTTTCTGTCAGGTATCAGGAAAAACTGTATTTAGAGTGGTCCCAGACAGTCTCAGAAAAATCCCAGTACAACCTGACTCAGCCGCTCATCCGGCGAGACCCAGAGACCAAACTGATCACTGTCAACTTTGATCCCCAGGTAAGAACTGCTGCCACTCTCCTGCCTCTCATGGCATGTCTCCAAGCTGTGCCCCGCTGTGCAGAGGTCTGGTGGGGTTGGTGCCAGGTCTGTTCTCTGAGATCTGTGGAACCCTTTCTGTGGTGGGTGACATGGATTTACCCTCCTCTTCATGGGCTCTGTCTCCTGGAGAAATATCAGGATCACAGTTTTAGCAGAGCAAATTCCAGTCAGAACCAGTGGCAGAAAGTCCCTGAGGAGCCAGGTGTGTAACTGGTGTCAGCACATCCAGACCAGTGTCAATACTGGTGTGGGGAGTGTTGGGACATCATCTCCAGAGGTGAGTTTATGTTATGTGTACCTGAAACCTGAGCTTCTGAGAGGGTGTAAAACACCCAGCAAAGGTTTGTTTTGTGACTCCAGTGTTTCCTTCACTGCAGAGCATGAGGCTGATGATAGATTTAAGTTCTGTTCTGGGTCCCCTGGAGCAGGAGCAGGGTCTGAGCCAGCAGTGAGCACAGATGGGCTGAGAGCTTCTGGGGCCTGGTGGGAGCCAGGGTCTGTTGGCTGTAAAAATGCCCTTTGCTGGGAAGGGGAGGAGTTGCAGTGGCCTTGGAAACACTGGCATCCAAAGCTTCCCCTGTCCTGGGGGCTTGCTGCTGTCCAAGGAAAGGGTTTAGGTTTTAGATCTCATTCCAGCTTGCCCCTCAGTCAAAGGACTTGCCTGTCTCCTTGAATGCTCCTCACTAAGGTGGGAGCCAACTGGCCCCAGGAGATGTTTTCTACCCTTCCCACTGGTGATGGGATTTGGAGCCTGGCATGTGCTGAGTGTGCCTGTCCTCAGCTCCAGTCTGTGAGTGCTGCTGCTCTTCTCTGAGCACACTGAGGATGGTCTGATGTCCCCCAGGGCCTGCTCAGCAGCCCCTTCATTCCCTCCAAAATAGACAGGAGCACCTGGTTTTGCTTGGAAGGGAGGGTGTACTTGCAACTCTTAAGGATGGAAATGCATTCCAGAGGTCACCTTCCATGGAGGAGGGGAGAGAGGGGAACACCCCCCCAGCCCATGGTGGGGATGTCCAGACATTGCAGTGCAGAGAAGGGAGGGGAGCTCAGTTCTATCTCATTTGCCCTCTTGTTTCCTCAGCCCCTGGTTTTCCCTTTTCCTCCCACCACGTCCTACTTCTTCCACCTTTCCAGAGTGCCTCCTGCACTCCTCTTCACCCCTTCTTTCTTTATTTCTTCTTTGTCTTTGTTTTCTCTGACACACTCTGAGTGCATCACGACTGACTCTCCTGACAGGCACTGCCTGATCCCCCTGTGCCATTCCTTCAGAGGGACTGTGCTTCCAGGGGCCTTGGCCACTTCTGCAGGACACTGGGGTTTAGCTGACATCAGACAGTGGTGGAGAGGTTTCAGTCACCCCTGCCTGTCACCCAGGGCAGTGACAAGGCTCCTGGCCATGCAGTTCCTGTGCTTGTGGCTTCACCTGCTTATGGTCACACCTGCAGATTCCAGTTCTCCTGTGGAAAACAGGGGCAGGGAACTGGGACCAGAGGGTGTGGGTGGGATGGGATCAGACAGAGAGTTCTGCCCCATACCTTCACAGGAAGGGATGACACATTCTGCTAACCCAAGGGAAAGGTGACTTTCTGGGAGCTGCACCCCAAGCTCATCTGCAGCCAGGAGAGCTCCTCACCCCCCCATTGCCCACACAATGGACTGAGTTTCTGTCACCCTGCCAGCATAACCCCAGGAGCACAGGAGAATTTTACCACTCTCTGGGCACTGGACTGAGCAAAGGCTTTTAGTCTCAGAGGGGATGTATCACATTGGCAGACCCTGCTGCTCCCTTTGTTGCAGGGAGTTGTTTATACTTGGGTTTATAATTTAATAATCCCCCTCAGTCCTGTCCCATCACACCTCAAACATGCACTAGCACTGAGTGCTTTGGTTGGGATGGGAGAAGCCTCTGGATATCTTTGGTGGAAGCTGGGCACAGGAGGGGATAAGTCACCAGGCTTGGAGCCGTGGTATTACTTTTTTTCAATTTTTTTATACTTTTAAGCCAGTCAGCCCAGTAAACCAAGAGAACTGGAGCATCTTCTCTTTCAATTAGATAAGGGTCAAACTCTGTTTGCAGGAACAGTGTTGCTGACAGACTGGTGATGTGAGTCCCTCATCATCTGAGGGGTGATCCACATGGATGAGGATGGCTGAGAGGACCAGAGGGGATTGTGTCTTTTAGAGTCTGGATAGAATTTGTTGGCTGGGTAGTTAACAGAGCTCTGTGCCTTTGGCTGGGAAGAAAACCAGAGTCAAAGATCAAAGGGAGCTAGGTAGTACAGACCAGGAGGTGTCCAGACCCTTTCCAGTGTGCTGATTTGGGAATAAACCAGCAGGAAGCCCCCAAGGTGCTCAGGGTTGGTTGGAGGGTGTCTGCCAGGACACGGGGAGGGTTGTCCCGTGCTCAGCTCTGTGCCTTGTGTCCCCAGCTGGTCTCGGTGCTCAGGGAGGTGAGTTACCTGTCGGGCAGCCGGGCAGGAGCCATCCCACCCATGGCAGCAGGAATCTACTCCTCCAGGGAATCCTACCGGCAGCTGGTGGCCAACCTGGAGCTGATGGGGAACAGGTACAACAAGGTCCTGAGAACTGTGCTGGAGGTGGAATATCCCCTGGTGCAGGGGCAGCTGCAGGATGTCGACGTGAAGCTGAAAGAGGCAGAAGAAACCCTGACCTGGGAGATGGAGGGTGAGCTGGTGCTGGGGGAGGGGACAGCACAGAACTGTGTCTCAGCAGATTCCTCCCTGTGCCCAACCTCTGTCCTCTGGTTCCCAATGGCAGTTCCCAGTTGGACAGAGGACACTCCAGCAGAGAAGGCACTGGGGAGATGAGGAGCAGCCCCCAGCTTTCCTGCTTCTTTCCACATTCCCTTGATCTACTGGGGTTGTGGACAGGATCCTGCTACCCTCAGGTTCAGCCTGGGCTCTGGGCAGGAGATGCTGCCCTGTAAGCAGTGAGATGGCAGCATTTGGGTTTGCAGGACCTGGCAAGGCTGGGGTTGAAGCATTTGCTCCCTGCCTTGCTGCCCCCCTGTGCCAGCCCAAGTGATGCCACTCAGTCACTGCTTCCTCACCCAGCTGTGCAGGGAGTGGGAACCCTTTGGCCCAGCCATCTGGCACTGGGAAACAACTCATCCCAGGCCACCTCATCAGCTTTTCCAGCAGGATGGAATAGTGCAGCTGGAGGTGTGTTTGTGCACTGGGACATCAGGGTGATTTGACCAAGTTCTTCCTTGAGCAGTTTTAGCTGCAAAGCAGAGCAGAGGGAGCCTCTTGGTGAGAGCAAATTGCTCGTGGGGGGGATGTGTGTTTCTGCCCTCCAGCTTGTGGTATGAGCAGGACCAAGTGAATCCCTGGGGAACATGCAAAGCAGAAGATCCTCAGGCTCAAAAGCTCTTTCTCCATTGTACAATAAAGTTGGATTTTGCTGCAGATGAACCCTAAGTTCCCTGCACCTGAATGCACCTGAGGCTGGCACAGCCTGGGGTTGGGGGCCCCTGCTCTGGTGGTGAGGGCAGGGACGCTCAGCCTGCTGTTCCCACCCTCCCCACACTTCTCCCTCTGGGGTCAGTCACTAGGAGATCATCCTGGGTACAGGGGAGCAGGACTGTCAGGCATCCCCATGGTGGGGGTGCTCCTGGCAGGAAAGAGGCTGTGCTGGTCTGAACTGTGGCTTGTTGGGACAGGAGGGAGGTAGAAGTGGCTGTGCTAGTCCAGATGAGTCTCTTGCCTTAAGGATGGGTGAGAGATGCATGAGACCTTGGGGAAACAGCCAGAGGCTGCTCTGAAGGGAGATGCACCAGAGCTTGGCCCAGCAGCTCTGAAAACAGGGAGTCAGGGGTCTCATTTCTCCCCAGGTGTGTGGGATCACATCTCCGGGGTCGTGGAAGGTGTGCATGACCTCGAGCAGAGGCTGCAGAAAGCCAAGGACAACGTTGAGTTGATCCAGAGCATTGTGGGCTCGTGGGCATCTCCCATCCTGGAGAGGAAGGATGGTAAAAGGGACTCAGTGCTGAGCCTGGAGGACTGTCAGAGTCACCTGGAAAAGCGCTACAGCCTTGTCAGAGAGGCCGGGCAGAGGATCCACTCCCTGCTGAAGGTGAGTGGGACCTTCCCTGGGGTTTGTTGGCTCCTCACAGGCTCTGTGTGTCCCTGTGCCGGTGAAAATGTCCAGAGCTGCTGCACCTTAAATGAGCTCCCTTAAGTCATTTGAAAATCTTACCCAGTGTTAATTAATGTTGGCTCTGATGGGTGAGCTGGACTGGGGGTGTAGGGCTGTGGTCTGGCATTGCTGAGCTGGTGACAGGACTGGGAGCAGCTGCAGCCCAGGGAAGGGTCTGGCTGCAGTCCTGGCTGCTGGAGCCACTAGAGGGGAGTGGTGCATCGGGTTTGGGATCCTGCTCCAAGGAAAAATACACTCCGAGGTACTTACCTGCCAACAGAGGCAGCGGGCTGGGGCTGACCCTTTGGTTTCAGACTCCTTGTCCCTCTTTGGAGCAGGAGGTGATGCTGCCAGCCCAGGGAGAAGCTGAGTGACAAGAGAAAAGCTGCTGTCCCAAACTTTGGTGCTTTCCAGCATCTTTGACAGAGCTCAGAGTCCTCTGCAGACCAGGTGAAGGCCCAAAGCTCAGCTCCTCACCTGCCTGGTGCCAGGTGTTATGCATGTCAGGGACAGCCCTTGGCCTGGAGGGAGATGGTTTTATGTCCAGCCCTCTCCTGAGGGTCTCTGTCTGGCCTTGGACTCTGAAGAGAACCAGCTGGGTCTTCATGCCTCAGGATGAGCCTTTGAGGTCCTCAGTGCTCCCTTCCCCAGGGCTGCAAAGCAGTCTTGAGTCCTGTGTCCTCAGAGAACAGGGAGGAGAACAAGTGGCAGAGCTGCCAAGGCTCTTCTGCACTCCATTTTCCCCTTGAGTTTTTCCAGGTGACAAAGCAGCCCCTGACAGGAGCAAATGGCGGCCATACCACCAGTAGCAACATCCATCTTTCCCATCCCTCCAGGAGGCTGGTTCCCGTGGGCTCACTGGCATCAGTGCTTAGCTGTGGGCAGCTCTCTTGGAGAACAGACTCAACCCTGCTGTGTTTGAAGGCATCTTCTTTTTCTTCCAGGAAAACCAGAGCCTCTTACTTGCAGACCCAGCATCTGATTCCTGGAAGGCCTATGTGGATTATGTGGATGAGATAGTCCTGGATGGATTCTTCACTGCCATCGAGTGCTCGCTCAAGTACCTCCTGGAGAACACAGGTGACACTGGTTCCTGTCCCCTGCTCACGGTGGCTGCTCAGCCTCTCCGAGGGAAGGTCTCTTCTTGTGCTCTCCCTCATGCCCACAAGTTGTACTCTCCTTCCTGGCTTTCCACTGGGTCTCTTCCCTGTCTCTGGGGGACCCTCCAGACAGGGAGGGTGACTCCATCACTGAATTCCTCGGGGGGAGGGATAGAGATGAATGTTCATCACTTGCAGGGATTAATGGGTAGACAAAATTGAGACATCCTCCCAGCTCTGGGCTTTGGCTTCAGCAATCTCCCACCCTCCCATGCCCAAAGCATCAAAGTGACACAATCTTTCATTTGTGGGGAGTCTCAAGAGCTGGTTCTGCTTGTGAAAGTCATGAACGAGTCCCTGAGCATTAGTCCTGCGAAGAGACGAGCTGGGCTCAGCAGCCACCAGATCAGGCATCCTGCCTAAGACCACCAGGGAGGTTCCCTCCCTCTGCTGAGAGCAGCTTGTGTCCAACTAAAGCACATCTCCAGGAATGCCTCCCTCCTGGCACACAGAGTGGGAGAATTGCATCCAGTTCTTCACCGTCTTGTTAAAAACTTGCACATATTGTCACATTTGCATCTGGCTTCAGTTTCTGGTTGCTGGGGTTTTTTTTCATGCCTTTCTCCACTAAATTAAAGAGCCTCTTGGTTCCCGTTGTTTTTCTCGTCTGCAAGTACTTACTTGCTGTAATTGTTCAGCTCTCAGACTCCCTTTGGAGTAGCTGAAGAGCCTGGTCTCTTTAAAGCTTTCCTCAGCATGTTTTCCAGTCCTTAAATCACTTGTGTCTCATTGGTTCCCCACTGTCTTCAGTGGGTACCACCACACCAGCTGCTCTGCCAACATCTCGTGTTGTGCAGACACAACAGCCCTGGACCCTGTGAGTGAGTGTCTCCCTCCCACCTGCCTGCTGTCCCTGCTGCCCTGTGTGCATCTCCTGGTAGGATGTTAGTGGTGGCTCAAGATGCCTTTTCTCCCCTTGAGAAAGATCCTGGTTCCTCCCTGCCAGATCCCAAGGCAGGGCTTGCTCCCCTGTTTGAGGTGCAGCTGGATTTGGTGATCCCAGATTTGGTATTTTACCCATCCCTGGACCCTGGCACACATGATGGCTTCTCTGACATGGTGGAAAGTCTCCTGAACAGCATCTACCACATCTCCTCGCTGGTGCCCCGGCTGGCCACACACAGTGGCTTCCCCCACTACCAGGTTTGTGGCCATGGCCCTCTCTCGTGCTGGGTGGCAGTGAGAAGGTGCCCACTGCTCCCACCTCACTGTGCTCTCCTCTCCCCTCCTGTCCTCCCCCTCTTCCTTCTTGTCTCTCCTTTCCCCTCTCACTTCTCCCCTCTCCCCTATTTTCACTCTCCTTTTCCCCCATTTTCCCTTCTCTCCTCTCCCCTCTTTCCCTTTTCCTCCCCTCCCCTCCTCCCCCCACTCCCCTGCTCTCCCCTCCCCTGCTCTCTCCTCTCTCCAGGCAGACCTGGAGGACATGTCTGGCCTGGCTGAGCTGCGCCAGGAGCTGCTGTGCCGTGTGCAGGCCGTGGTGTCCTCGTGCTGTGAGTTCCGGGCTTCCCTGGAGCGCTATTCCCACGTGTACGGGGAGGACCGGCGGGAGCTGAGCCGGCAGTTCCTGCTCTACGGGCGCGTCCTCACGGCCGCAGAGCTCGAGGCCCAGGACACGGTCCCTGAGGCGCTGCCCACACTGCAGCAGTTTAGGGAGCACATCGACTCCTACGAGAGGCTCTACGAGGAGGTGACTCACATGGAGCCCCTCAGCACCTTCCAGGGCTGGGTGAGGGTCGATGCTCGGCCTTTCAAGGCGGCCTTGCTGAATGAAATTAAAAGGTGGAGCCTGGTGTTCAAGCAGCATCTCCTGGAGCACGTCACACACAGGTGAGGGCTGCTCCTGCCTCTGCTCCTGGGACCTGCCCTGGGATTCCTCTTGTCTTGACTGGGCTTTATTGTTTCACACTGATAACCAGTTGAGTCATAGAATACCCTGAGCTGGAAGGGACCCACAAGGACCATTGAGTCCAACTCCTGGCCCGGCACAGGACACCCCAACAATCCCACCATGTGTCTGAGAGTGTTGTCCAACTCCACAAGTGTTGTTGACCACTCCGATAGCTAATACAGGAGAAGGGTCCATGGTTCGTGCCAGCTCCATCACATCCCTGTGTCTTCCATCCCCTGGTCTCTGCTGGCGTGTGAATTGGGATCAGTGACGTGGACTTGGTACCACTGACATCCCTGAGCCAATGGCCCTGGGACCTGCTGTGTGGCATTAGACAGGGCATGTGTTTGCCTGCTTAACCTGAGCCAAATAATCCCATCTCTGCTGGGGCCCTGGGCCTGCTTTGTAGGGTTAGACATTGACCATCGGTAAAGCTGCATTAATGCCATGGGGTACTTGCTCTGTTTCTGAAAGCATCGAAATTCAGGCAGCCTGTCATGAGGAGATGGCTCCAGGGTACAAAAAGGAGGAGTTTGGGCTGTAAGTTTAGAAAGAACACATTCCCTGCTCTGAAGAGCTGCTCAGCCACCAGGTCTGTGCAGGATGATCCCCCAGCTGATTTACTGGTCACAACTTCAGTGAAGTTGTGAAGGGTGTCCCAGGTCTTGGCTGCTCCCAGAGAAGTGTTCACAGACATCTGTAGAGGAGGCAGCTGCATGGGGTGGTGATATGATCTCCTTTGTCTTTCCAGCACCATAATTCTGTTAGATAATTTCTGTGCAAAGAGGTTTTTGTGTAGCTGTGAAGGAGCATTTAGGAGTTGTTATTGGGAGTCCCTGACTCAGCAGTTTATTAGGTGAAGTATTTAAGGATGCATTTAGGCCCAACTGCATCCACAGAATATAAGTGGGCACTTATTTTTTAAGTGCTTTGAGAGGTGGACAATGGATGTGCTGGGAAGGACCAGAGACATAGGAGCCCATTCTACCTCTGCTAAAAGTACCCAGTAGCTGGTGAGGTTAAGAACAGGGTAAGCAGGTATGGAAACATCCTCCAAACACTCTCCTTGTCTCTGATGATTTATGGCTCAAGGACTTTGAGAGACAGGGATCATGCCTTTGTTTTTAAAGACCTGGATGGATTTTTTCCCTCTCACAAATGTCTGGTTGCTTTTCTGAACTGCTGTGAATTTGTATTGCCTGCACCCTCCACCTGCAGGGAGGGAGTTGTCTTGTGAAGTGAGGCAGTGCATGAAAGAGAATCCCTGTTTGTTGGAGCTTTGCAATCTGGCAGGTTCATCTGGGAAGATTGGGTTCTTCTGTTGGAAGAGATGGGGTGAAAACTGTCACAGAATCATAGAATGGTTTGGTTTGGAAGAGACCTTAGAGATCATCCAGTTCCACCCCTGCTACAGGCAGGGACACCTTCCACTGTTCCAGGTTGCTCCAAGCCCCGTCCAACCTGTTCTTGGACACTTCCAGGGATGGGGCAGCCACAGCTTCTCTGGGCAACCTGTGCCAGGGCCTCCCTCACAGCACAGACTGTCCTCTCAAAGGCGCCTCTGCAGAGCCCCCCTGAGCTCACTGTCTCTGTCACACTCCTGCTCAGCTCCCCTGTCCCCAACCTGAGAAGTCCCAACCTGTCTTTCTGTTCCTTGCAGGAAGCTGTACCACATCCAGGGATCCTTTTGAGCATGAATTGCAGTCCTGCTGCCCTTAGGATGCAGTGGGCAAGGAGAGCCAGGCCGTCCCTGTCCCTGCCAGCCCAGCTGCCTGTGGAAGGCTGGATATTAATTCCACGGGAACTGCTCTGATTCTGTGCCTCCCTGCTTTGTGCTCCACAGCTTGGCTGACCTTGAGGAGTTCATCCAAACTGCTGAGAAAGGGCTGAGCAGGAAGGTTGAGAAGGGGGATTACGATGGCCTCGTGGAGGTCATGGGGCACCTCCTGGCCGTGAAGGAGCGACACGGTGCCACCGATGCCATGTTTGAGCCCCTGAGGGAAACCATTGACCTGCTGAGGGCCTACGAGCAGCAGGTGCCAGGGGAAGTCCACCAGCAACTGGAGGTGAGTGAGAACTTGTGGTGGACACACAGTTTGCCAAGGAGCAGATGGCAAAGGCAGCAGGAGCCAAAGAGCATCGCAGGAATATTTAAGGCCCTGCTCCCTGTCATTAGAGGGCCTCAGTGGATAGTAGTTTGCTATTGTAGGATGTGCCTTAATAGCTCTAAATTTTGGAGTTATATTGAGATTTTTCTTTTAAAGCAGAGATTAAGCCTTTTGTTATGTATGAAAAACATAGAACTGCCTGCTCCAACTCCCAGCGATTACTCTTGAACAAAATTAATGCATTTTCAAATACATCTGTTAATTAGGTTCAATTATAATTATTTTAAAATAAGCTGGTTCTTAGCAACGATGGAGATGGGAAGGATAATGTTGGCAGAGGAGTTGCCTTCTCACAGGACTTCAGGCCTCCACTGTGTCTGAACCACCGGATCTGCTTGACCCAGAGGGCATCACAGGTTATGAAAGTATTTTGGCACCTTTTCACATGTGGCTATGATGAGTCAGTTTTCTTTTGGGAGTTCCTTTCATTTCCAGAAAGGGGACCGTGAGATGAAGGTTAGTAATGATGGTGAGGTGCCCAACCAGCCCTGGGGACAGAGACAAGCACTGGCAACAGGCAAGGGGATGCAGTGGAGAAGTGTGTGGCTGCCTGCTGATGGGTGCCCTGTGGATCCCTGTGGGCAGGGGGTGTGGGCAGGGGGTCTGTGCAGGGCACAGGGTTAAAGCAGGAGCTGCTGGGGAGGAGTTCCTGCCTTGCAAAGGCTCCTGTTCTCTGCTGCAGGCTCAGATGGAGCCCAAGGGGGTTTAGCAATCCCTGGGTTTTCTGCTTGTGCAGCCGTGATCTGTGGGGGGTTGGTCACCAAATCTGGAAGAGTCAAGAGTCCTAAAGATACCCAGGGTCCTACAGACCCCTGAACACCAGCAGGGCTGCACTGCATGGGTGTTCTGGCTGCTGCAGCATCTTTGAGTCCAGCATGAAGCCGGAACCTGGCTCTGCTAATCCCTCTGCCCAGGAGCTGCTGCTGTGGTGTTTGTTTGTGCAAGTACATTCAAACAACTGATTTATTTTCCTCATAGAATAAATGAGGACGTGGGGCAGCCCTGCAGATGCAGGAGATAACAAAAAACACTTGTCCTTTCTGGCAAGTGGCAGCAACATGTGTGTGAATGATTGATTTGCTCCTGCATAGGGTGGGAAAACCAGTAGTTCCTGCAGGTACTGCTCCTCCTGTGGCTGTGGAGATGGATGGGCCTGGGGCTGGTAGTCGGTAGGAGAAAAGGAAGCAGCTCCATGTGTGCCCTGCTGTGGTCCTGGATAATGATTTCTATTTGGAATGAGATGTGCCAGGGAGAGACCCTTCAGGAGCCCCACTCTGGTCACCTCTGCTGCCTCAGAGCTGCCTTCAGTTATTTCCCTTCTTTTCATACTGTTGATGGGTCTCCATTAATCTCCCCAAGTATGTGAACTGGGCTGAAAAGAAACCCAAAATCTTTCCTGTAGGCTTGGACAGTACATGGGGAAGTGGGGAGAGCACAGCACTGGGGCTTGGGGACAGCAGAGCCCTTGGTGTCAGTGCCTGAGTGAGGGTATGGCTGGAGAGGCCCAGTGAGGAGAAATAAAATCCCTTTCTGAGGAAAATGCCAGGTCTGGAGGGGGGATTGTCAGCAGTGCTGTGCACTCACAGTTGGATGCAGAGCTGAGAAAGAAACCAGTCTCATTTGGTACTGATGTTGTATACACAACCTGGAGGGATTTGCCCTGTAGGGCTTTCTGGAGTCCTCCTGATGTAACATCTCCTGGCAGGAAATGTCCCAGGCTCTGTTCCTTTAGTTCTGGGAAGCCAGAGGAGTTTGCATCCACATCCATTCTCCTCCCTTCAGCTGCTCCCAGTGGGTTCCCTGCCCTGATGGGCTTGATGTCAGAATCACTGTTCTCTCTTGAGCACAGAACCATCCTGTGAGCCCAGGACTGAGTCTGGGATCTTCTTCGGTGGTTATGAACATGTTTCTACAACCAGAACAGTCATTTGTAGAGTCTTGGTCTTCATTAGTGTTCAGAATTTTGAATAAGTGGGAATATTTATCCCAAATTGTGTCTTTAGTCTTTCATAGAATCACAGAATTGTTTAAGTTGGAAAAGACCTTTAAGATCTCACCCCAGCACCCCCACCATGTTCACCACTAAACCATGTCCTCAAGTGCCACATCCACACAATTTTTGCATACTTCCAGGGATGGTGACTCCACCACTGCCCTGGGCAGCCTGTGCCAATGCTTTGCAACCCTTTCTGTGAGTTTTTTTCCTAATATCCAATCTAAACCTCCCCAGGCACAACTTGAGGCATCCCAACAAAACTTTCTTACAGTCTTAGACAGGGAATCTCTTGCTTTTCACTTTCTGTGGTTACCCATGAACAGATCAGGCACATCTTACACTGAACAGCAAGTCCTGCCTCCCAGCAGTTCTGTTTTGCCCACAGGAGCTGCCAGAGAAGTGGAACCATGTGAAGAAGCTGGCCCTGGCTGTGAGGCAGCACGTGGCTCCTCTCCAGGCCAACGAGATGACGGCCCTGCGCCAGAGCTGCGCCGCCTTCGACGCCCAACAGCTCCACTTCAGGGAGAGGTTTGGGAGAGAAGCTCCCTTCAGGTATGGACAGGTTATACCATCAGGGCAGCCCTGAGGGAAAAAAAGTTCTATGTGCTCATCTCTGCATGTCCTGAGGATGCAGAGCCCTTCCATACCTGTTCCCAGTGCTGTACCTGGGGTGTTGTGTCCCTGGGAACACTGTCCAGTGTCAGCAGTTTGGATGCTGAGGGCACATTGTTGCTTTAAGGTGGCATCAGTAGTGTCATGTAGTACCATCAAGGTGTACTACAGGCCTTTCATCTCTCCCATGTCTCTCAGAGGCACTGTTTAGTTTATGTTTTCTTTAGAAGTTGTTACAATATCACTTATGAATAACAAACATTTATTTCTAGGTTTGACACCGAAAAACCTTATCAACTGCTGGATGCAAAGCACATGGAGATTAAACAGATGGAGTCAGCCATGACCTCGATTTCTGAATCAGCTGGTCTGTTTGAAGTCATGGTGCCAGAATATAAACAACTGAAGCAGTGCAGGAAGGAGCTGTGTCTTCTCAAAGAGCTCTGGGATATGATCTCCCTGGTGAACACCAGCCTCAGTGACTGGCAGACCACCAAATGGGTGGATATTAATGTGGAAAACATGGATCTGGAGTGTAAAAAGTTTGCAAGAGAGATTCGGAATCTGGATAAAGAAATGAGGGCGTGGGATGCTTTCACTGGGCTGGACAGCAAGGTGAAGAACATGCTGACGGCCCTGAAGGCGGTGGCAGAACTTCAAAACCCTGCAATCAGAGAAAGGCACTGGAACCAGCTGATGCAGGTGACGGGTGTGAGGTTTGTGATGGACTCGGACACCACGCTGGCTGACCTCCTCAAGCTCAACCTGCATAAATTTGAGGGTGAGGTCCATGGAATTGTGGACAAAGCAGTGCGAGAAATGAGCATGGAGAAAGTGCTGAAGGAGCTGAGAGTGACTTGGAGCACCAGGGAGTTCCAGTACGAGCCTCACTCCCGCACCAACGTCCCCTTGCTGAAGTCAGATGAGGAGCTCATTGAAACTTTGGAAGACAACCAGGTGCAGCTGCAGAATTTGATGTCATCCAAATATATTGCTTTCTTCCTGGAGGAGGTGTCTGCCTGGCAGAGGCAGCTCTCCACTGCCGACTCTGTCCTTTCCCTGTGGTTCGAGGTGCAGCGCACGTGGTGTCACCTGGAGGGCATCTTCATAGGCTCAGAGGATATCCGGGCACAGCTGCCCCAGGTAGGAAACCTCAAATCCTGCTTCCTCTTTGGAAAGCATTGAAGAAGAGCCTCCATTATTAAATAGGGTTATCTATAGTGCCAAGTTGCCCCAAGCAGGGCTTTTCTCCCGCTGCTTCTCTCCCTGGAGGCTCCCTTAGTGCTGTGGTAGTTCCCCGGGATGTTTTTGTGCCACAGGCTGTGCCTGAGCTGTGCTGAGGGACTGATTTGCTCCCCTCCACTGCTGCATAGCAAATCCAGAGTTGCTGGGGCTGGGCAGGAGGCTGCTGGTTCCTTCAGTGCTGCAGGTGTGTTCCCTCTTCCCTCAAAGAGGAGGGTACTGGGAGAATTACTCAGGCACTAAAAATCCCGGAATCACAGAGTGTGCTGAGCTGGAAGGGACCCACAGGGATCAGCGAGTCCAACCCTCAGCCCTGCACAGGCCCATCCCCAAGAGTCACTCCCTGTGCCCCAGAGGATCAGCCAAACCCTCCTGGAGCTCTGGCAGCCTTGGGGCTGTGCCCACTTATCAAACCAGAGGTGGCCCAGGCAGCTCTGGCAGCATCCCCTCCCTGGCCTTCAGTGCTGGTGCAGGGGGAGGGCAGCTCTTCTCCCCCTCCTGCTTTGGGAAATGGAGCAGTTGTCGTTGGTGAACCCCTCAGGTTGGCTTTGAGTCCAGCTTCCAGAGTTATTGCAGCCTGGCAGCCGTGCTGAGGAGGAACGTGCCTTTCACTGAGGAGTGAGCTGTAGGTGTTGTGTCCCCACTGTCCCTGTGCCTGTGCAGTGTCACTGAGGGGGGACTGGCCCCCAGACAGGGTGTGCACCTGACAATTGCCCACCCTGTCCCCATCCCTTCCCTCTGGGCTGCTTGGACTGTTCCTCCTCTGCTCTGGTGAGTGCTGGGCACGCCTGGCTTCCCAGGCTGTGTGTCCAGGGGCTGGTCCCAGAGCCCCGAGGGCTGTCCCATGTGCCAGCACCATGTCACATCCACCAGCTCTCTGGGGGTGGGTCAGAAACCACAGCATGGTTTAACCTGCATCTCACAGGGCTCTGCACCTCAGCAACCACCCAGCAGGTGCCACGAACCAGCAGCCAGTTCCCCTCCATAGCAGAGGATGAAGCTCAGATCCTCTGGAGGCTGGACCTCCTTGGGATGCATCCAGGGGTGGGGGGTCTGTGCTGACAGGGCCAGGATGCACATCTGGAGCTGGCTGACAGGCTGGGAGAGCTGGGGGTGTTCAACCTGGAGAAGTGAAGCCTCTGGGGAGACCTTAGAGCCTCTTCCAGTGCTTAAAGGGGATCCAGGAGAGCTGGAGACGGGCTTGGAACAAGGGATGGAGGGACAGGACAAGGGGAAATGGCTTCAAACTGACAGAGGGCAGGTTTAGTTTTGATGTTAGGGAAGAAATCCTTCCCTGTGAGGGTGCTGAGGCCCTGGCACAGGTTGCCCAGAGAGGTTGTGGAATTCTCATCCCTAGAAGTGTCCAAGACCAGGCTGGATGGGACTTGGAGCAACCTGGTTTAGTGAAGGCGGAGGGATCCAGATGATCTCTAAAGTCCCTTCTAACCCAAACCATCCTATTATTTTATGATTCCATGAATGACTTCAGCCACAGCCTTGCTACAGGGGCTTAACACAGGTTAATGTGGGAGTGTTCTGAGGAAAGCTGGGAGCACTTTTATTCAGTGTCCTGTCTCACTCAGGAAGCTCAGCTTGGGAAGAAAGGGGGAGCAGGGACATTTTGAACATAACTTATCTATTTTTTGCTATTTAGCTCCAGAAATTCAGGGTCTCTGTTGGGTGTCAGGGAGCTCCTCTGCTGGTGGTCTGGGGTTCCATGGCCCTACTCAAGACAAGGAAGAGCTCTGCTCTTCCAGCCACCATACCCACATCAGGGTGGGCAGTGTGGCAGGAGGGGACAGTGGAACACCCTTGAGATTGGTGGCCTTTCCCCCATATGGGAGCATCTCCCCTGCTGTGATCAGGGAAAATGGGTAATTCATCTGGACATGGGAGCTGAGGAGTCAGGAGGAGCTATTCAAGGGGGAATTCAATCCCGTGGGAATGGGTGGTCCTAGGGATTGGCTTCTGCACGGATCACTTTATCCACAGCTCCTGTGGGGTACAATGACAAGGCAAAGGCCTGACTGGGGACTTGTTCCAGGCACATGGGTGGGAGAGCTCTTGGGGAGGGGGGTAGGGGTCCCCTCTGCCCTGGCCAGAAGGCTCTCTGCAGAGGAGCTTTCCCCTCCTCCCAAAGCCACACCCAGAGGATGGGATCCCTCAGCACACAACTTGTGTGTCACTGTGACTGTGTCCTTTGTGTCCCTGTTTAGGACTCCAAGTGCTTTGAAGGGATTGATGTGGATTTTAAAGAACTGGCCTATGAAGTTCAGAAAACTCCAAATGTAGTTGAGGCCACCAATAAACCAGGTCTGTCCCAACAGCTGGAGGACATTCAGAGGAGGTAGGTAGAAGGTCAGTCCCAGGATTTTGTCAAAGGGAATCAGCTCTAAGAAGTTGGTCAATACTGTGCTCCAAGGCTGTTTCTGAGGATGTGCATTATCTGCATTCACAAATCTCAGCCTTTCTGACCTTTCTCAAGTCTTTTTACTTGTGACCCATCACCCTGAAACCCCTGAGTGGAGTCTGGCTTTGTGTAGGGGCAAATTCTCATCCTGACTATTAATTTGCACATGTTCAGGGCCATCCAGGTGGTTTGAACAGCTCCTGACCTCACTGCCACCCAAACACAGTGTCTGAAATAGCTGTGAGAAGGGGTGTGAGAAGAGGATCTTTAGTTTGGATACTGGGAAGAAATCCTGCCTCTGAGGGTGGGGAGGCCCTGGCTCAGGTTGCCCAGAGAAGCTGTGGCTGCCCCATCCCTGGAAGTGTCCAAGGCCAGGTTGGACGGGGCTTGGAGCAACCTGGGCTGGTGGAAGGTGTCCCTGCCCATGGCAGGGGGTGGGACTGGATGGACTTTGGGGTCCCTTCCAACCCAAACCATTCCATGATTCCATGATATCTGCAGCAGAGCTGAGCCCATGTTCTTTAATTTACAAAATTATCCCTGTGTGTGACACAAGGTGTAACAGCTCCCTGGGAAAGACCTGAGTGTCCTGAGATGGAGACACTGCTCACTTAACATATGAATGCACCTGAAACACACTTCAAAGTTCCCGTGGAGCTGTTCTGGCAGTAACAGCTCTCCATTTCAAATAAAGATTGGATTTTATTTTCAATCGGATAAGGCCAATGTTCCTCACAGAGAATGTTATTTAGGAACTTTGTAAGCTCAGCAGCAGTTTAGCATGTGAACACTGCAAGATTCATTTTGCAGATCGGAGCAAACTAGTTTCCTTTCATGCTTTGCAAACACAAAAAGCTGAGTTGGTTGGAATCAGACTTTAAAATGTGGCTCATTAGAATAAAAGCCGTTCTGGAAATGTTCATCCCCGTGTGAAACCACCTGTGGCAGTTCAGAGCTCGTCTAAAACAGTAGGTCAGACTGCAAATCTTTCCAACCTCTTCTTCCACCTCTGTTTCTGCTTTTTCATGAGGCTGCCCTGGCTCTTGGGTGTTTGACCCCGGAGTGGAGAGTGAGCTGTGAGTTACTTTGTGCTGTGTTGATCCATTCAGGAATGCTGGAAGGCAGCTGCAGGCTCAGCTCGTGCCTTGGATTTCCCCATGGTGGGGAGAAGCTGCTTGATAACCCAAAGGGCAGCACGAAGCATGGAAAGATCTTCAGTCCCCTGTCCTGGGCTCTGTTCATCTGCTTTGTCTCCACAGGTTGTCTCTGTGTGAGAAGGCTTTGGCTGAATATCTGGACATGAAGAGGTTGGCCTTTCCCAGATTTTACTTCATTTCTTCCACAGATTTATTGGATATTCTTTCCAACGGCACTAACCCACACCTGGTAAGCCTTGGAATGCATCAGCTTTGCATTTTGCAGCTGTCACGAGTGTCACAGTGGAAAATGCAGTCTTGGGACTCTGCAGTGTCCTTTCTGGAGGACTTTTTCTCCCACCCTGATGTGGATTAATAACTCTTTCACAGCTCATCTTCATCTGTCATTCTGGACAGGCAGCACGTGCCCTGGGTGTTTTCTGATCTAACTCTGGTGCTGCTTGTGGAAGGTTCTGGGAGCTCTGCACTGAGCAGAACTGTGGTTTTGGTGCCATAAAACCCAGGGTTTTGTTTCTGCTGGGACACAGCGAGGTGGGAGGAAACCACCTTGAAGATCTCATCCAAAACTTGGATCCCAACCTGGGATGCCACCAAACAGCATCTGCTGTTGGAAGAGCTATGGACTGGTCATTCAAATGTGGAAGTGTTGGTCACTGGTGGCTTGGAGAGGTCCCTTTTTGAGGGCAGAAAAGGCATTTGCTAGTAACTGCTTCTTCCTTCCCCCTTGCCAAGGGCTCTGGGGTGTCCTGATCGTAGGGCAGGGAAGCACAGCACCAGGAGGGGGTGAAGCAGGAGCTGGTCAGACAGTGGCCATGGCTCAGGGCCAGGCTGTGTGTCTGACCCTCTGCACCTCTGACCGAGCAGGCTGCTCTGCTCCAGGCTGGGCTCCTGGGATGGTGCCTGAATGCCGGGTGTGGGGAATCCCTCCAAACACACCATCCCAGCTGCTGACTCGGGAGGATTGCTGGGCCATCCTGGGGAGGAACTGGTAGGAACCTTCCTGTTGTAGGAAATGGCTTCCTGCTGTTCCCAAGGATCAGGCCCCTCTATCCCCCATGGGCAGAGCTGAGAGGATTCAGTCCTGCGGGTGCTTTTCCATATGGAGCACGGCAGTGTTGGGGTTGGTTATTGGTGCTGCTGGAGCTGTGCCAGGAATCCTCAGCTGCTTCTGGCAATGCTGTGCCCTGACTTGCCTGGTTTGGGAGGCATCATTGGTGTGTAAACCCAATCAGCACGTTCACAGCAAATGGAGACTGTTGGATAAGGAATCAGTTCCTTATTCCACCTTTCAGTAGTGAGTAATCTCTCCTTCTTTAAGCTTTTCTTCATTTTCTGTGTTCATATGAGCACGTGAATGGGGCAGGTTTAAAAATGCTGTTGTTGCCACTAAACTTTAACTCTGCTTTAAATCTGTTTTCTGCTGCTGGGTGATTTCAGCCCACAGAGTGTCATAAATACACAGCTGATTGATACTTTAAATGGAGAGAAAGAAAACACAGGAAGCAGAGGAAAGCTACTGTGCTGAAATGCTCTGTGGAGTAAGAAGAAATTCCTGGTGCTTTCTGTTATTCAAAACTATTTGCAGTAAAATCAAAGCAAATGTCAAGTGGGATCATACCTGGATACACTCTCAGCCTTTCCACTGTAGTTTCAAAGCCTGATAATTCCTAAAGGAGGATTAAATACACAATGATATTTATCCGCTTGAACTGGATATTGAGCTGGGGCAGAGTCAAGGGCATTCCAGGCTCCAGTGGCAGGAATGCTCCAAGTGCTGGAGCACAGCCAACGCCCTGAGACTGGCCAGGGTCTGGCAATGGACACTGGGAATTGCTGAGCAGAAAATTCCAGATGTAGGAAAAGGTTTCCATGGTTTATGTGAGATTTGAAAGGAGATGTGCTGATCTGGGAGGAGGCTGAGTGCCTGTTGCTTCTTGATCCACTCTGCATCTTCCAGGATTGAGCCCTGCTTGGTCACAGGTAGGAAGATTGATGAGCTGTGTCCACCACTGGGACCTCGTGAGGAAGGTTGGAATCCTCCAGGGCTCAGTGAGTGAGAATTGAACAAACAAGTCACAGAATCATAAAACAACCTGAGCTGGAAGGGAGCCACAGGAATCATCAAGTCCAGCTCCTGGCCCTGCACAGGGCACTCCAACAATCCCACCCTGACCCTGAGAGTGTTGTCCAAACCCTCCTGGAGCTCTGGCAGCCTTGGGGCTGTGCCCACTGCCCTGGGGAGCCTGGGCAGTGCCCAACCAGCCTCTGGGGGAAGAACCTTTGGCTGAGATCCAACCTGAGCCTGCCCTGACACAGCTCCAGGCCATTCCCTGGCTGCTGTCCCTGGTCCCCCCAGAGCAGAGCTCAGTCCCTGCCCCTCCTCTGCCCCTGCCCAGGAAGGTGGAACTGCAGTGAGGTTTCCCCTCAGTCTCCTCCAGCTGAACACACCAAGTGCCCTCAGTGTCCTCACACACCTTCAAATCAAGGCCCTTCACCTGGCTGGGACAGCTCTGGGACCTGCCTTTCCCATGGGAACACCAGTCCTGGAGAAGCCTACCTTTGCTGCAGTGGTGTGTAACACCCAGGGATTCAACTGGGTGTGATGTCCTGCTCTAGAAGAAGCACCAGTGACCTGCTCAGCTGCTGTTGGGAGCCTCAGCAGCAGTTCTAGTGTTTCCCCCTTGGCTTTGCAAACTCATCGAGGTGTGAACAGGACAGGACTGAATCATTCTGTTCCTTCTGGAAAAGTGCTTTTGGTCAAGGTGGGGGTTTTGCATGGGATGTTGAGCTGTTTATCCTGTGTCTTAGGCAGAAATAGAAATCTGGTTTCTCCAGGGAGGAAAATTCAGGGCTTTTCTTCAGTGCAAAATTGATTTCTAGGAGGGAAAAAGCAGAAAGATTCTTAGTGAAGAAAACTCCACAGTGTGCTGAGAACAGGTTGAGGTGGAGCAATGGATGGAGATCTCGCTGCACTACATGAAGGGAAATTGGGACTAGAGAATTATGTGATGTTTGAATGGTTTCTGAGCTTTTCTCCTGTGGGGAAAGTTTCAGGATTTGTTAAGGCGTGTCTGTCTAAATGAGGTAGAAATAGGTGGAGGTACTGAGAGAGACAGCAAGAGGCTTGTACTGGCAGCCTAATGGCAACGAGTGAGGAGATGTGGTGCTGCCAAGTGCTGTTCCAAGTCCTTGCTTTGTGAACGTGGCTGTGTCTGTCACATGCAGGGTGACCTCAGTTCTGCTTGTCCTGTCTCCGTGACTTTATTTATACAATTCTTTTTGCAGGTGCAACGTCATCTTTCCAAACTTTTTGACAGCTTGGCCAAGGTGAAATTCCAGGTGGACTCTGAGCAAAAGGCAACGAAGGTTGGCCTGGGAATGTACAGCAGAGAGGAGGAATATGTCCCCTTCAGTGCACCCTGTGACTGCAGTGGGCAGGTGAGAGGGAGGGCCTTGTGTGTTCAAACTCTCTGTGGAATCTGCTTTCCTGCCCCTTGGGTGGCATCAATGGCCAAGACACTGTAGAGCTTCACTGCTCTTCCATTATGAATGAGAAAATCTGGAAGAGGTGCTGTGTAACTTTGATCCCTCCTTACACCACAGCTCTAGGCCCACTCGGGATGGGTCCTCACTAACTGGGGCAGAGGTGTCCCAGCCCACAGTGCAAAGGAGGGCTTTTCTATTCTAATTATTTTAAGACATTTTGAGGGTTACTCTTACCCTCTCAGTTGGGGAAGGGAAGCATATTGAAAATAGATTAAGCTATTCCATAGTGCCTCTGCATGACTACCTTTGGAAAGAGAAGGGTTTTTTCCCATTTTCCAGATCTTTCTTCTTTCATAGGATGAGTTGAAGTGCAAAATTTAAGAATCAAACTACTGCTCAGTTTTTCTGTCCCTGTAGTTGCACTTTTCTCCATGGACTATTATAAGAAGCTAAAGTGTGTAATACTAGCTCTGAGCTCCCTGGTGATGGAGCTTGGCATTTAAACTGTCCTCTCAGCGAGGGCTTTGCCTGTGAAATACTAAATTCAGCAGGAATTGTGTTCCCAGGCTCTCTCTTGCTGCTGGCAGATTGTGCTCAGTCCCACGAGTGACTCTGTCATGGCCTGGAGCTGGAACACGCTGAACTAAATTGCTCCTCGGTGGAGTTCATTTTGGTTCCTCCTAAAGCTGGAGTTCCACACAACCTGCTGTGTTCCCTTGGTGTCTGGAAAGAGATGCTGATCCTGCAGGAGCAGAACTGGCTGAGTCCTGCAGTCCAAAGGAGGACAGAGGCGTGTTGGACTGCAGAGCTGAACTGCTGCTCCCATTCCCTGGGCCACTCATGACCCAGGAGGAGCAAACCTGTTCCCGGGGTTTCGTGTCTCCTGCAGGTCGAGGTGTGGCTCAATCACCTGCTGGACACCATGAGGGCCACGGTGAGGGACGAGATGACGGCGGCTGTCACGGCCTACGAGGAGAAGCCGAGGGAGCAGTGGCTCTTTGACTACCCTGCCCAGGTACCTGCCAGCGCTCCTGGGAAAGGTGGGGTGTGGCTTCCCCTTCCATCCTGCCCTTCCCTGCCTTCAGTACTGGCCTCTGACTGTGGCTGGGGATGTTTCTGGCTGCTGCTGTGCTGTCCAGGAAGGAGGAAGGGCGAGTTCTCCTTTCTCCTGGCAATCCCTTGATGGATTCCCAGGCTGAGCTCTGTGCTCTGATTGGAGCTCCAGGCAGGATGCAGTCCCAGGACTTGGGCAGTGGCTTCTGCATCCTGGGGCTCATGGGAAGCCCGTACACCCGGAGAGGTGAGAGATGCCACAAGAGAACAAAGGATGAAGCCTGATGAGAGGAAAGAGCCCCTTGGATGCCCCTCTGGCAGCCTTGTGGTCCCCAGCTCAGCCTCCCATGTTGTCAGACATGGGAGAGGGACTCATTTCCTGAGGAGCAGCTACTAAACATGTCTGCCCCTGACAGGGTGTTAAATGGATGTCGTGGGGCAGGTCCCCCCTGTCCTGTGTGCTGTGACACTGTGTGACAAAATACTTAATCTTATGTCACAGATGCTTCATCCTTGATCTCCCTGTGGATCAGACACTGAAATGTGAGGAAGCTCTGGTGTTTCTCTGATACTGAGGCAGCCTGTTTTTCCAGGTGGCTCTTTCCTGCACCCAGATCTGGTGGACAACCGAGGTGGGGATTGCCTTTGCCAGGATGAAGGAAGGCTACGAGAAGGCCATGAAGGAGTACCACAAGAAGCAGGTGGCCCAGCTGAACAGCCTGGTGACCATGCTGCTGGGGCAGCTCTCCAAGGGTGACAGGCAGAAGATCATGACCATCTGCACCATCGACGTGCACGCTCGGGATGTGGTGGCAAAGATGATCGCGCAGAAGGTTGGTGTTCACAGCTCTGGCTGGTCCCGTGCTGGGCATTGGAGTGGGGATTATGAGGGATAGAACAGGTACAGACAGATCACTGCCTGACTCAGTGGGAGGCACATGGCTGTAAGGAAAAGCATTTGGGCTCTTCTTTTTATAGCTCCCTTGCTCTGGTGTGGGGCCACAGGGACCCCTTTGGACTCCCTTGTCTGTCACTGCTCTCCCCCACCACTGCCCTGTCATCACAGACTGGTTTGGCTTGGAAAGGACCTTAAAGCTCTTCTCATTCCATCCCCTGCCATGGGCAGGGACACCTTCCACTAGCCCAGGTTGCTCCAAGCCCTGTTTAACCTGGCCTTGAACACTTCCAAGGATGGGGCAGCCACAGCTTCTCTGGGCAACCTGTGCCAGGGCCTCCCCACCCTCACAGGGAAGAACTTCTTCCCAATATCCCTAACCCTGCCCTCTGTCAATGTGAAGCCATTCTTCCTTGTCCTGTCACTCTGGGCCACAATTAGGTCACCTGGGAGTCTTCTCTTCTCCAGGCTGAACAATCCCAACTCTCTCAACCTTTCCACATAGCAGAGGTGCCCCATCCATCTAATCCCAATGTCCTTGACACTGTTTCATGTCCAGCTCTGCAGGTGGGTGGGAAGGTGCTCTGGATGTGCTGGGTTGTGGCTGTACCCTCCTTTGTGTCCTCCCAGAGGCAGCTTCAAGGCACAGCTGGCCTTGGTGGTACCTTGGCCCAGTTTGGGATGCAGGTGTTTGTCTGTCCACCTGCAGGGCTGCTTCTGGTCGTGCAGAGTGCTGGTCATGGCTCCTTGTCCCCTGTCCCCTGGTGCTGTCTCAGGCCCCTTCCCTGGCTAAGCAGCTTCTGCCCCCTTTGCTCACCCTGCATTGCTGAAGCCTCTTCATGCCATGCTGCTTCTTAAATCTCCTCTCCAGGAATCTTGGTGCTGCTCTTTCTCTTGGACATTCACTTTTTCCTCTCCCACAGATGTGCTTGTTGATTTGGTCCTGCCCTCTCCTGATGGGAGGTGGGGAGGTAACGTTGCTCACCCCCCTGCCTTTGCAGTGACCAGTCCATCCCCAGTGACAGCTCCCTTGCAGTCCCTGAGCTGTGTGTGGCCCCCCTGATGGTACCTGTGGGCTCGTTGCAGGTGGACAATGCCCAGGCATTCGTGTGGCTGTCGCAGCTCCGGCACCGCTGGTCAGACGAGGAGCGGCACTGCTTTGCCAACATCTGTGATGCCCAGTTCCTGTACTCCTATGAGTACCTTGGCAACACCCCTCGACTCGTGATCACCCCCCTGACTGACAGGTGAGTCCCTGGGAAACACCAGCAGAGCCACGTGGCTGGAGGAAGAGCTGCCAGCTACAGAGGGGTTTATTTTGGACACCCACACCCCTCTGGTTCTTTCTCTGTGTCCCAGAAATCCTGTGGCAGAGCTCCAACTCTCAGCTGTTGTTACAGAATCACAGAATCAACTGGGTTGGAAAAGACCTCTGAGATCATCCAGCCCAACCCATGACCCAACCCCACCTTGTCACCCAGACCATGGCACTGATGCCACATCCAGGCTCTGCTTAAACACCTCCAGGGACGGGGACTCCACCCCCTCCCTGGGCAGCCCATTCCAAGGGCTGATCCCTCTCCCTGGGAAGAACTTCTTCCCAATGGCCAACCTAAACCTGCCCTGGGGCAGCTCCAGGCTGGGCCCTCTTGTCCTATTGCTGGTTCCTGGGAGCAGAGCCCGACCCCCCCCGGCTCCCACCTCCTGTCAGGGAGTTGTAGAGAGTGAGAAGGTCTCCCCTGAGCCTCCTCCTGTCCAGGCTGAGCTCCCCCAGCTCCCTCAGCTGCTCCTCACAGCACTTGTGTTGCAGACCCTTCCCCAGCCTCGTTGCCCTTCCCTGGACACCTGGTTTGGGATTTTATGGTGTTACCCCCTGGGGTATCTGTGCCTCGGATCCCAGGGTGGGATTTGACTCCCAGATGCTCACTGTGGGTGTCTGCCTGGGCAAGGTGTCCACACCCTGCAGGGTTGGTGAAGTCCAGAAGCTTTCATCTCATCCTGAGGAGACATTTGCCACTTGGTTCACCTGTCTCAGTGGGGATACCTGGGGTGATGTGACATGCTCTGAGTTGTCCCACCTGGATTTCAGCTGCCAGTCCGGACGTGTGCAAGTCTCCTGTGGATCCTTTGTCATATCTTTCCACTCTCTGTGATGTTGCAGGAGCCATGAGCATCTCAGGTGGCTCTAGTCCCCCACGTGTGTCAGCTAAGCCAAGCCCCTGTGCACTCTCAGGTTTTGTTGGCCATGGTGACCATAGTTCTGTGGCTTGTACAGGGGGTGCAGACACCCACATGTGGGCACCTCTCTGGGGTCCATCATCAGCCTGATAGAGAAGCTCTGGGGCCTGATGCAGCCTTGGGTGGGAACATTTGTAGGCCATCAGAGCAGGCATGATGGGGAGTGGGATCCTTTGGGCTGAAGGGCACTGGGCAGGAAGAGAAAGGTCTTTCAGGAAAGCTGCTCTTTCCTCATACTCTGTGGAACATGCCCGATGTCAATGAGTGGTGTGAGGGTCCAAAGAAAGCACAGCCTGGAGGTGAAGAGGTTGGGCAGACCCCAGTGGAAGGTGAGTATTTCTTGGATTTAAGGAATGGTTGAGGGAACTTGGATTGTTTAGCCTGAAGGAAAGGAGGCTCAGGAGGGACCTTCTCACTCTCTACAATTCCCTGAAAAAGGGTTGTAATGAGGTGGGGGTTGGGCTCTTCTCCCCAGTAAAAGGGTGAAAGGAAATGGCCTCAAGTTGCATTGCGGGAATTGTAGATTGGATTTTAGGAAAAAAATTCTTCACTGAAAGGGCTGTCAAGCATTGGAACAGGTGGAATCACCATCCCTGGAAGTGTTCAAAAAACACATGGATGTGGCACTTGAGGACGTGGTTTAGTGCTGAACAGAGTGGTGATGATTGGGTTGATGGTTGCACTTGGCGACCTTAGAGGGCTTTTCCAACCTTGACCATTCCATGATTCTATGGGGAAATCACAGCAGGGCAGAGGTGGTTGTTAATGCCCAAGAGGACTTTCAGCTTGTACACGGGCCCTGCTCATGCAGAGCTTTCCCAAGAAGGGCTCAGGGCTCTCTGGAGCTCATTGCCCAAGTGCCATGTCCCTGCAGCCCAACAGTGACCTGTGGGAGCCAGTCTCAGTCTCTTTCCCTTTTCCTTCCTCCTTTACTGTGGAAGGTGTTACATCACCCTGACCCAGGCCCTGCACCTGACCATGAGCGGAGCCCCCGCGGGCCCTGCGGGCACCGGCAAGACGGAGACGACGAAGGATTTGGGCCGAGCCCTGGGCATGATGGTGTATGTGTTCAACTGCTCCGAGCAGATGGACCACCAGGTACTGCTGCCCTGGGCCACAGGGCTGTGTCACAGAGTCACAGAATGTGCTGAGCTGGAAGGGACCCACAAGGATCATCGAGTCCAACTCCTGGCCCTGCACAGGCCCATCCCCAAGAGTCACCCCCTGTGCCCCAGAGGATCAGCCAAACCCTCCTGGAGCTCTGGCAGCCTTGGGGCTGTGCCCACTGCCCTGGGGAGCCTGGGCAGTGCCCAACCAGCCTCTGGGGGAAGAACCTTTGGCTGAGATCCAACCTGAGCCTGCCCTGACACAGCTCCAGCCATTCCCTGGCTGCTGTCCCTGGTCCCCCCAGAGCAGAGCTCAGTCCCTGCCCCTCCTCTGCCCCTGCCCAGGCAGTTGGAACTGCACTGAGGTCTCCCCTCAGTCTCCTCTTCTCCAGGCTGAATATGTGGGGCTGGAGGCGCTCAGGGCTTGATGAAACCTGAAGGATGAGGGTAATCAGCTGAGTTTGCTTAGATTCATTCTCTCCTCAGATCCCTGCTATGTTCCTTTCTGCTGAACACCTTTTTCTCCTCCTCCCTTTTCTTCTCTGAGACTTACACAAGATTCTTCAGGAGGCAGAGACCCAAGCTGAGCTCCCTTCCCTTCCTTTCTGGAGGTAGATTCCATGTGAAATGCTTTGAAAATTTTGACCTGTTCAGTTGAGACCACCCCGGCTGTTTCCTCTCAGCACACTCCAGGCTGCCATTGGGGAGGGACCTCTCCTGGTTTTCCCAGAATCCTCTCCTGGGATAGGGCCAAAGTGTGCTGAACCTTGAGCTGGGTTTGTGGGGTTGAGCCCTGTGCTCTGCCACAGTGCAGTGGGTTTGTGGCCTTGGATCATATTTTATTCAGCTCAGGTCTCTCCTGAAGGGGGGCCATCAGTAACTCAGCCCACTGACCTTTAAATGGAACTGGAGCACAGAGATGTCAGAGAGGGCAATTAGGAAATCAAGAGGCAAACTGTGCAGAGCTATAAATATTGTAATTGAGTTGTGCCTGCTGCTCCCATGCACTTTCCTAAATACCCACAATAGGCTGTAAATTGCTATAAATAAACAGGCTGGGAAATAAAATCCATTTTTTGCTGGAGTTGATTCCACTTGTGATTTTACTCTTGTAATTTTATTTTATTTTTTTTCTTTTCAGTCTTGTGGGAATATTTACAAAGGCCTTGCCCAGACAGGAGCTTGGGGCTGTTTTGATGAATTTAACAGGATCTCAGTTGAGGTCCTTTCGGTGGTTGCTGTCCAGGTAAGTGAATAAATACAAATGAGGCAGAGCTGTGCTGCAGCCTTTGGCATGAGGGTAAATATGGCAAGTGCCTGTTGCCAGTCTCAGTTTGTGAGGGCAGCTGAGGGATATATCCCAAGATTAATCACACGAATGTCACAGCATGGACAAAATGCAGCAGTGATGTGCTGCAAGCATTTTTGCCATTTCTTTTCTTCCTCCAGTCACAGCATTTGTGTGGAGGCAATTCTTTACAGCTTTTTCCCCCAGATCAGCACCCACCATGTCTCTACCTGCTCCCCCTGAGCATGACACTCATGGCATTGATGTGCTGGGGGATGATCTCAGTGTATCACTGCAGGGAGGAGATCTGCCCAGACTCATGGCTGCTGCAAATGCCACCTGAGGAACCATTTCTGTGGAGAGGAGGGTGGTGTTTGGGGCAGATCTGTGGGCTGCTGGACTTTTGGGGATTGCTTATTGCCTCCAGTCAGGCACAGGCTGTGGGTCATGTTCAACAAACAGGAATACACTCAAGAGTCATTTTCTTAATGCTTACTTGTCCCCACGGCTGTGGAACTTCCTTCCTTCCTTTCATTTCTTCCTCCCCTTCCTCCTCTTCCTTCCATTCCTTTCCTTCCTTCCATTCCCTTCCTTCCCTTCCTCTCACTGGCCCATTGGGAAATCTGGGAATGTTTTACAGAGGGGAAAGAACTATGGGAGGAGACTCCCCTGTCCAGGAAATGAGGAGGGAGCACCAAGGAAAGCCCCGTGGGTGTGAGTCGCTCCTGGCAGGGACTGAAATCTGGGCAACCCAGGTGTGACCATGGGGCAGCAGGATGAGAGCAGGCCCTGCTGCAGCTTCTGGCCCATGTTTTGAAGGAGAGCTGGATCTGGGATTTGTCCAGATCCCAAATCTCATGGGAATCTGCTGAAAAAGCCAGGTAAATCAGCTGCCAGAGGAGTTGCAATGGCAACTGCACTGTCCAGACCCAGACAGCTCCCACATGGGCAGAACTGAAGGTTTTGAGTCTTGGGAGACTTCAGTGCTGAAAATTGAGGTGCAAAGAATCCAAGTTCTTCTGTACCCAAGTGTCATCTGAGTGCAGGTTTTGGGTTATGAATTTTTCCTAGACCCCATCTCATTAAAGAGAGAAAGATCTAGAGCCCAGAAGTTTCTACACTTCTGTAAGTGTTTTGGTCAAAGATGATGTTCTGAACCCCTCCATGAACTCCATCCTCGTCTCATCTCTTTCTCTCATCATTGTAGCCCACGTGATGTCCCAAAGAAGTCCCCGGCGGGTACATGAGTTTGTGTGTCATTCCCTCTCCATTTCCCTTCCATCAGGGACTAGTTTAAAGTTGTCATTGAAAAACGTCTTTGAGGATCTTAAAATAAAAAGGGAAGCTGAACAAAAGAAGCCCAGATATGACTCAACTGCTAATGATGCCCTGGCTCCTGGCTGGAGCTGTGTCGGAGGCACGGCTGTCATTCCATCATTCCTCTCCTGCCTGCTCTTAGGAGGGTAACCATGGAGATGGTTAATTGGCTGCCTTAGTCATGCAGCTTAATGTCCATGTGGGGCCTTACAGAGAGACTCCATTAATTGCTTAACTGTAAGATGGCAAACAGAAGTGAGGTGAGAGCAGTGAACAGAGGGAGTCCTCCCTCGCTCAAGTGCTGTTTGCAAGGAGGTGATCTGGCTGTGATGGGCTCAATCCTGTTGGAAGGTGGGGAATGAGGTGATCTGGCTGTGATGGGCTCAATCCAGTTGGAAGGTGGGGAATGAGGTGATCTGGCTGTGATGGGCTCAATCCTGTTGGAAGGTGGGGAATGAGGTGATCTGGATGTGATGGACTCGCTCTCATTGGAATGGAAGGTGAGGAATGAGATGGTCTGGCTGTAGTGAATTTGCTCCCTTGGAAAGTGGGGAGTGAGAAGGACAAAGCTGCCATCAGGCAAATAGAGCAGACCAGCCAATATTAGTGAGTGAAGGTGTCAGGGGAGGTCTTCCAGCTTCTGCCTTGTGGGTTTGGTTTTAAATTAGGCATCTAATGTCCTAAAGCCTGTAAAAGCAGTATCAAGTGATCTGTTTGCAATTGAGCTGAGGCCAAGTTTCGTGGGAAATGCAGCTCCTTTTCTGGGCCTGCTCAAGGAACAGAGCAGGCACAGGAGGGTTTGGGCTGTCATGAGGAGCAGTGTGGGGAGGGGTGAAGGTGGGTGAGGGAGTCAGGGACTGTGTTGTGTGAGACTCCTGGGGTGGCATTTGGAGTTGGCTGTGCTGTGAGTGCCTGCACAGCCCTGCATCTCCTCTCCTGCTCTTGCCTCCTGCTACACTGGGAAGTTGGAAGAGCTGGTTTAGCCTTGGAGGGTGTTTATTCTGTGAGATGTGCTGATGGAGATGATGGTGATGATATTGCCACACAAATTTGCTCTGAACAGTGTATAGAGCTTTATTTGGTCAGTAAAAAAACAAACCAGAGCAGTGATAATCCCCAGTTGTCATGGGCCAAGGGGAGGGACAACAGTCTGGGGGGATTTCATAACTGAACAGCAGCACTAAGCAGTGCCTTGGTTCCAGGTGAAGAGTGTGCAGGATGCCATAAGGGAGAAGAAGAAATCCTTCAATTTTCTCGGAGAAGACATTAACTTGGTCCCCTCAGTAGGCATTTTCATCACCATGAACCCTGGTTATGCAGGACGAACTGAACTACCTGAGAATTTGAAAGCTCTGTTCAGGTGAGTCGAGGTCAAGTTTGTTACCTGTGTTATAAGAGTGGCAGGAATTGTCCTTTGGAACATCCAGGTTTGGCTTTGTTTTCTTGAGGCATTCACTTGCATTGGGGATTTACAGATAGTTTCAGCCTTGTGCACCAAGCCTGGCTCTGGGAACACACAGGGAGGGCAAAGGAGCTCTGTGCCTGGAAAAGGCCGTGTGTGACCTGCCTCCCTGGAGAAGACGTGGAAGATAAAGCTCCAGGCCCACTGCCCTTAAGATGTGTTGTCAGTACTTGCTCTGCAGTCTCTTGTTGCCTGTCTCCCCAGGCCCTGTGCCATGGTTGTGCCAGACTTTGAGCTGATCTGTGAGATTATGTTGGTGGCCGAGGGGTTCATCGAGGCCCGGGTGTTGGCCAGGAAGTTCATCACTCTCTACCAGCTCTGCAAAGAGCTCCTGTCCAAGCAGGTGAGCCCACTGCTGTGCCTGGGCCTGTGCATTCCCAAAATCAGGAATGTGGCACTCTGCCACACACCCCCATGACTGAAGCTTCACAGCTTTGATTTGCTGACTGCACTGGTGGCAGCTGCTGGGAGAAGGGAAGGTTTGTGGTCATCAGATCATCAAGCTGCTTTCCTGGAGGATCTGCAGGGACAAAAGCACTTGACCAACTGCATTAGTGGGAGAGATTTCTCAAAGGGCCCAAGTGGCACCGTGGTTGGGGTAATTCAAGTGCTTTCCAGGCTCTTGGCTCCTATTGATTTTCCTGCTGCAAGGGGTTTATGGTGGCTGCCCCTCTCTGAGTCCAACCTGACACTTCCCTGTCATGTCAGGTGTTGATAACAGGGTCACTTGCAGTGCAAAACTCTAGTTAATCAGATTTTTCCTTGCATAGATCAAATCTGGGTCCAGTAATGAGTTGAATCAGGACTCCAGATGGAAAACCTGATCTTGGCTGTCCCAGCATGAGCTTGGGTGGGGGATGCCTTGTCACAGAAACTTTGTGCTGTGCCCTGGAGGCCTTGGTGGGAGCCATGGCCTCCTACACAAAGCTTTCAGCTGTCAGGCTGGGCTCTGCAGATCTTAACAGAGCAGAAATAAAAAGGGTTGCTTGTTGGCCTGAGTTCCTCTCAGGCTTCTTTGGGATTCCTTCTGAGCAGTGTCTGCTTGGTGGACTTTTCCCAGGACCAAATGTGCCTCGTAGCCTCGTGGTGGGCAGGATGGAGAACCCTGGGTATCTGGGGCCTCAGAATGGACTAACAAGCCTTTCAGCTAAGTAGCTCCTGCAAATCCAGGGCTCTGTCTGGCCTTGCCTAAGCTGCATAAAGGCCAAGCAAACTGCTTTGTGATTTAGGGGGAAAAAATTGTTTAGGTCTCTGGAATGCAAATCCTGCTGCTGACTTAGTGCCAGCTCTGAGCCCATGGCATGGCATGAACAGCTGAATTATTTGACTTTTTAATACTGTCCCTGATGGGGAGCTCACCTGCTTAAATGGAGATCAGGTAACTTGGGCTGGTGGAGGTCTCTGGCCACAACACAGATAACCCTGAGATGAGCTCAGTTGGTTAGAGCCTGGTGCTAATAATGCCAAAGTGGTGGGTTCAGTCCTTGGAGGGGCCATTCACTAAAGAGTTGGACTTGAAGATCCTTGTGGGTCCCTTCCAACTCAGAATATTCCGTGACTGTGTGTTTGACTTTCAGTGTTTCTGTTGCTGAGTGGTCTGGCACCTGGGAGCTGCTGGTTCCTCCCCTGCATGGTGGTCATAAACTCTTTGTAATTGATTTCTCCCTTCCCCCTGCAGGATCACTATGACTGGGGTCTCCGTGCCATCAAGTCCGTGCTGGTGGTCGCCGGGTCCCTCAAACGCGCCGACCCCGAGCGCCCCGAGGAGCAGGTTCTGATGCGCTCCCTGCGTGACTTCAACATCCCCAAGATCGTGACAGACGATGTGCCCGTGTTCATGGGGCTCATTGGGGATCTGTTCCCTGCCCTGGGTGTGCCTCGGAAGCGTGACCTGGATTTCGAGGCGTTGGTGAGACAGGCTGTGCTGGAGCTGCGGCTGCAGCCTGAGGACAACTTTGTGCTGAAAGTGAGACCAAGTGATGTTCTCTGCCTACACCAGCATCAGATCAGTTGGGTTTTCTCAACACTCTTTGCTTCTACAAAGAGGGCTCTGCACGGTCACAGAATCCCAGAGGGGTTTGGGTTGGAAGGGATCTTAAAGATCATCCAGTCCCACCCCCGTGCCATGGGCAGGGACACAGGTTGCTCCAGGCCCTGTCCCACCTGGCCTTGAACACTTCCAGGTTAGAACAGCCACAATATTCCCCTTGCAGACAGACCCTGATGGAGGACAGAGTCAGCTATTCTGGGTCTGATGCAGTTGCAGCTGCCCCTAAAACCAGTACTGCCTCGCCCCTGAGTTGGCCAAGGAACTGACTCTTGGAGGCTCATGCACATGTGGAGAGCACCCTGGAGAGCAGAGGATGATGGCTGTCAGATGGTATTTCCAGGAGGTTTGTTTGCCCACTGGGGATTTCACACATCATGGTTAGAGTGCCCAGAGCAAAACAAACTCAGTATCAAGTCCATTTGTGTCTCTAGGTCACAGCCTTCTGAAGGAGAGACCCAATGAGAGCTCATTTCATAGAATCACAGAATGACAAATAGTTTGGGTTGGAAGGGACCTTCAAGGATATCTCATTCCAACCCCCTGCCATGGGCAGGGACACCTTCCACTAGGCCAGGTTTTGTAGATCTGAACTTCAGTTTGGCACCTTTGTCTAAGCTGTGGGAGTGTGTTTTCCCAGGTGGTGCAGCTGGAGGAGCTGCTGACAGTCCGACACTCCGTGTTCGTGGTGGGAAACGCGGGCACGGGCAAGTCCCAGGTGATGAGATCCCTGCACAGGACCCACCAGATAATGAAGAGACGTCCTGTGTGGACAGACCTCAACCCCAAGGCAGTCACCAACGATGAGCTTTTTGGCATCATTAACCCAGCAACAAGAGAGTGGAAAGATGGTAAATGTCTTTTCATGCTGAATCTGGAGATAAAAGGGATGTTTTTAATGGACGTCCTGAGTAGCAGCAGGATGGCCAGTCCTCTGTACCCAGGTCTGACAGCCCAGGGGCCTGTGTGCTGCTCCAGCCATGTGAGGAGTTGCTGTTGAAAGGACATGTAGGGTGGTTTAGCTTTTTGGTTATCAAATGGGAATTTATCCTTTTGCCATAAGGATAATTATCCTGTCCATTAGCACCAGCACTTCCCAGTTCCTAACTGGGGCACGTTGATTTTCGGGGCTGGGCTGGTGATGGAAGAGAGTTCCATCCTACCCTATGGTTTGCACTGGGGCCCCCCAAAATGTGCCATCCCCAGGTTTCCATACCCGATAGCACACTCAGACCTTTGAGTGGTGTTTTTCCACTTACTATCACTGTCTGATCTCCAGCACATGGCATTTGCCAGGCTGTTGATCCTGATTGCTCCTGAGGAGGACAAGTTGAGCATTTAAAACCTGCTGAAAGATTACAGAGCTCTGGAGTGAAAACGTTGGGTTGTGACTAATCTGGAGAGGCAGCTTGGATTCCGTGTGTGGCTGGTTTGGGAGGTGGTGGGGGGAGGGGTGGGAGGACGTCACCATAAATCATCCTGGGCCAGAGCTGTGCCAGGAGATGAGCTGCCACCACCTCCCCTGGCCCTGCCACAGCCCCTCCTGCCCCCTGCTTTCCTCCAGAGCCAGGGTTAATTTCTTTTTAGTTGGTTTTGGGGACCCTAAATCAAAGTGATAGAGGGAAGTGTGGGATACAGAGCCCTGCAGAAGGGCTGCAGTGGGGAATGAGGGTCAGGGACTGTGGGTGTCACTGGAGAGCAGGAGGGACATGGGCAGGTGGGTGCCCGGTGGTCTCAAGCCTCTAATGTTTCAAGAGAACTCACAGGACTCCTCCCTGAGGGCTCAAGGCACATACTGTCTGCATTAACCATTCCTGAAAATGTTGTTTCTTGCTGTCAAAGACCAGCCAGGCCATTTTCACCACAGCCTGACAAGAAGATGTGTTCCCTTATGAATCAGCCCCTCCTTTTCTTCTTCCCCGGTTCATCCTGTCGCTCGTTTCGTTGCCAGCAGTTGGAGAGTCTGTACCTGTTAGATGGGAAAAGGTCCCACAAGGGAATCCTAAAAGTGTTTTTTGTAGAACCAAACTCTCCTTTTAAATCCCAAGGCCACTCTGTGGTGTGGATGCACAGGGTTGGCAGAGGGGCACTTCCCTCCCCACTGCTGTCGTGGTGTCCGTGAGGGAAGCACTGATGCTCTGAGACAGGAGCTGTTCTGACACTAATGGTGTTGGACTGTTTGCCAAGACGTGTCCAACGTGAGGAATGGAGCCAAGGCAGAGCCAGGGAAGTGTTACTTTTTGACCTGCTCTCAGAATCAGGTACCCGTGTCTGATGAGCTGTTCTGCATTTGTTATACGCAAGCTTTGTCTCAGTCATATAACACCACCGGCCATTCCTGACCTGGATCATGAGGGAATAGCTTGTCCTGGAGAAAGAAAAGAGAGGGCTTGTCACAATTCACCGTCAGAGAGGCTGTTTTTAGTGTTTGCCTGCTGTTCCTTCTTGCAGCCCAGCCTTTCCCCAGGTATTTCCTCGTGTGGAGGACAGCGCTGGTTTTGTGGAGCTCTCATTTGCCCTGCAGTGCTGCTGCTCTATTCCCAGCTTCTTGCTCTTCTTAACATTCATTATTTACTCCCCTTGAGACACTGTATCCTCTCTGTCTCCTTGATTTCACTGACATTTTGTTCTGTCACTCAATGTCAGTCTGTGCTTGTTCTCCCCTCAATCTCACTAAAGCCATGACCCAGCGTTTAATGCATCTTGATTGCCCTGATACACTTCAAACCATAAAAAAAATAAATTATAAGAATTTCCAAAGCATATTCAGATGGTTTTCTCTGCATTGTGTAATTCATACCTTCTTTTGTCTCTGAGTATCTGCTCTTCATTTTTCTTATCCCTTATGATTTGCAGTGGGAATGAAGCCTGTGTAGGTCTGCAGTCATTTTCAGTGATAATAACTGATAATGGCTTTTTTCTTCAAAGCAGATATCTTGATATAGTATTATTTATATACAGATGCAAAGAGTTATGAAAGCTTAAGAGGAAGGCATAATTTTTAGTAAGTTGTTAGAAAAACTGCTAAAGGAGGTGACAACTTCAGTGTTCATCAACATATTCTGTCACCTTCCCAGGACTGTTCTCATCAATCATGCGAGAGCTGGCCAACCTCACACATGATGGTCCCAAGTGGATGGTACTGGATGGAGATATTGATCCAATGTGGATTGAATCTCTTAATACTGTGATGGATGACAATAAGGTAATGGATACAAGGTAAAGCAGCAGGTATTCCTTGTCGAGTGTGATTCAGCCCAGGAGAAATGCAGGTGCTGAAATAACACCTCCTGGAATAATGCAGTTGTGTTCCTTCAGGTAGACCAAACAATATTGCATAAAGGAAATGGTGCATGAGGGAAATAGCTCAGAGTTTGTTTTCATTGGAATTTCCCTTTTCTGGAGAGTTGCTTGTGAGTAATAACAAATGTCCTGATCATGACTTCAGGCCCTTTAAAAATAGAGTAGGGGCATAATTCTAGACCCTGAGGGAGTGCTGTGGATTCTGGGTTGAGGGAGAAGGGTCATTCTACTGCCTGTTAGAAATCATGTCATAGGCTCACAGAATGGTTTGAGTTGGAAGAAATCTTAAAGCTCATCCACTCCCACCCCCTGCCATGAGCAGGGACACCTTCCACTAGCCCAGGTTGCTCCAAGCCCCGTCCAACCTGGCCTTGGACACTTCCAGGGATCCAGGGGCAGCCACAGCTTCTCTGGACAACCTGTGCCAGGGCTTTACCACCCTCACAGGGAAAAGTTTCTTCCTAATATCTAATGCAAACCCACTCTTTGAGTTTGAAGTTGTTTCCTCTTGTTCTGTCACTCCAGATCCTTGTCTGAAGTCCCTCTTCAGCTCTCTTGGTGCCCCTTCAGGTACTGAAAGGCCACAATTAGGTCACCCCAGAGCCTTCTCCAGGCCGAACAACCCCAATTCTCTCAGCCTTTCCCCATAACAGAGGTGCTCCAGCCCTTGCAACATCTTGGTGCCTGCTCTGGACTTGCTCCAACAGCTCCGTGTCCTTCCTGTGCTGGGCCCCCAGGGCTGGAGGCAGCTCTGCACGTGGGGGTGTCACCAGAGCAGAGCAGAGGGGCAGAATCCCCTCCCTTGACGTGCTGGTCACAGTGTTGGGATTGCAGCCCTTTGCCAAAGAGCTCCTTGGGAAGCTGGGCTGAGCAGCCAGGTGCTGAAGGCTCTTCATGGCTGTTCCAGGGGGAGCTTCAGTCTGTCTGTCTGTCTGTCTGTCTGTGTGCCACCTGCAGGTGCTGACCCTGGCCAGCAATGAGAGGATCCCTCTGAACCCCACGATGAGGTTGCTGTTTGAGATCAGCCACCTGCGCTCGGCCACCCCGGCCACCGTGTCCAGGGCGGGTGAGTCCCACCCTGGGATTCTGCCCGGAGCAAGCAGTGTCTAGTGCTGTTAGTCAGCCTGTTGTTGGCCAACTTGGTCCCTCCTGAAAGCTCCCAGCCTGGGAGCACAGCTGCCCAGGGTTGGTTCCTGAAGCACATGGACAAACTGAGGATCCTGACCTTGGACCTGTCACCATGCTGGGAATGTACCCAGAGTGCTCTGACTGCTGATGTGTGACCATGGCTCCAGCACTGCTGAGACAGTGCTCCTGCACAGCTCTGATGGATGAGGAGAGGGCCAGTCTCTGACCCAAAATGCTCCTGATCTTTGGAGAGGTTCATGGGAGAAGGGAATGAAGGTGTCCCCTCATGTCTGGGACTCAAAGCAATAACCAACCTCAGAAAAGATCATGTTCAAAATTTGGGGCAGAGTCACGAAAAGTGTCCTGGTTTCCTGAGTTCCATCTCTTCACTCTTAATGTTTCTCTCTGCAGTGGGGCAGGAGGAGGGAGCAGGTACTGGGGCACCAGGTGTGTTTGGCAGGGGTTTAGTTGTGTGAAAGTAGCTGAGAAATTCTGCTGGGAAATTGTGGTCTCTGCTGTGTCCTCACTGTATGTTCTCCCTTCCTCTGGGCCTGAAGGGATCCTGTACATCAACCCATCAGACCTGGGCTGGAATCCCCCGGTGAGCAGCTGGATCGACCGGCGAGAGATCGAGTCTGAGAGAGCCAACCTGACCATCCTGTTTGACAAGTACCTGCCCGTCTGCCTGGACACCCTCAGGACAAGGTACCACCTGGAGGCAGGGGCTCACTCACCACTTCCCAGACCAGCTGTGCTGGGGCTGTACTCTGTGTAACGTGTGCCCAGTGTTCTCCTTGTCCCCAGGGCCTGAGTGTCATTGGCTTCAGCTCAGAGGAACATCAGGGTGAGGGGGCAGCTGACACTCCTGCCCATCCTTGTCTGGGCACATCTGTTCCTCACTGGATAGTGACTTGATTCTGTACTTGGTTCTGTATCTCTTGGAAAGTTAATCCAGGAGATCCTAAAGAGGAAGTCTTTCCAATCTCCTGATGTGTCAGCCCAGACCTGAGTTAACTCCACAAGTTATTTTTCAGCAGAGCAGATTTAGGCCACTGCTGAAGGGAAGTTTTCCATGTGCAGTGTGGAAGATGGGAAGAGCAGATCCTCTTTTATCTTCTCCCCACTTCTTTTCTTGCCACACTTCTTTTCCTGCCCCTTGGGGATGAGAAGGAAGCTGGTGTTTGTGGAAGAGGGTGGATTGCTCTCCAGGCAGTCCTGTCTTGAATTTCTTTCCTGATGCATTTGAACACAATCAAGTCAATCTGTGTGAGCATCCAGCTGGGTATGTTTCCTGGCTGGACACCAGACTGACAAACATGAAGATCTTGGATATTTGAAAGGGTCCTGGTGCTCTTGGTTTGAGTTACCCTCAAAGTGGTGCCCACAGAGAAGTTGGGTGAGACCACAGTTCTTGCTTGTCATGATGGGACACAGCTCTCTGACCCACACAGTGGTGAGGACTGGCCAAAGGAGAGATCCAAAAACCTTGAGGGAGGGAGCTGGTACTTGGAGGGGGCCTGTGAGAGAGATAGGAACAAACCTTTTAGCAGGGCCTGTTGCAATAAGACAAGGAGTGATGGTTTTAAACTGAAAGAAAGGATATTTAGATTAGGTATTAGGAAGAAATTCTTGGCTGTGAGGGTGGTGGGGCCATGGCACAGCTGGCCCAGAGAAGCTGTGGTTCATCCCTGGAAGTGCTCAAGGCCAGGGTGGATGGGGTTTGGAGCAACCTGGGATAGTGGAAGGTGTCCCTGCCCATGGCAGAGGGGTGGACTAGATGACCTTTAAAAGGTCCCTTCCAACCCAATCCAGTCTATGATTGTATGATTCTCCCATCTTCTGCTTGTTCCCCATAGCTGCACTTGCATTAAAAGAATATGTATATAAAAAAAGAAGAAAAGTCAATGTACAACTCAGTTGTCAGCCCCAATGGGGAGGGGTCAGGAGGAGCTGCTTTAGTGCAGACAGTGCTCCTTGGGAGTGGGAGTTGGGAATCCTGCTAGGGAGCTGCTCTCTGGGTGCCCAAGCTGCTGTAGCTGTTGGCAGCAAAGTCCATCTGACACCTCCCACCCTCTTTGCTGATCATTGTGTCAGCCCGTGAAATCCCAGGATTAGCTGCAGCAGCCCTGAGCAGAGCATTTTGGTAGCTTGCTTAATTCAGAAATTGTAGAACTAACCTTTCAAATAGCTGTAATTACTTTATGGAGGACTTCAGTGCTGCTACAGTATTAGTTTGGAATTCTGTAAGTGTAGCTTAACCGAATGTAAAATGGCAAGATGAAAGGTTTGATTTTATTACTCCTCTATTTGACCGCTTTTCAACTCCTCGTGTTCCCAGGAAATCATTGCCTTCAGCAACTCTTCCATTTTACTTCTTTCAAGAGGATCAAAGTTTTAAAATGCTTGAAACTTCTGATTACTGTTATTATGTGTGTGTGTGCCAGTGCCAGGGGGCCCAGGCAAGGGATGAGTGTTCTCCTTAGTGCTGTTCCAGGGAATGAGACAAGGAAAAGGGAATGAGACCCACACTGCTGACAAGGAAAATGCAGATGTTCTGACAAAGCATTCCTGCCTTGCCTTCCTGGGCTGGAGCAACCCTGGTGCTTCATCCAGTTGTATGCTTTCAATTTTCATCCCTTAGATTTAAGAAGATTATTCCCATTCCTGAGCAGAGCATGGTTCAGATGCTGTGTTACCTCCTGGAATGCCTCCTGACTGAGGAGAACACACCTTCTGACTGTCCCAAGGAGCTCTATGAGCTTTACTTTGTCTTTGCTGCTGTCTGGGCCTTTGGTGGATCCATGTTTCAGGACCAGGTAAGAAGGGAGGTGCCACATCAGCATCTTTCATACAGATCTTTTTTTTCTTTTTTTTTCTTTTTTTCCTACTTTCCCAGACCCAGTGCTGTGTCAGTGATGCTGTTTGACCCAGAAACCTCAACTGAACTTTTACTAAAGGCCTTGTTTTCCAGGGGGTAACACCAAAGAATGGCTGGGATGGAGGTGGGGGGATGTTTGCTTATGAAGAAACATTTCACTGGGGAGAAACATCAGGTTAATTTATAGTGGTGTGTGGATGTTCATAATGTGATCAAATTAAGATGGACTGATCAGATGAATCCATCAGTGGAGCCTTATCCAGCCACCTGACTGTGCAGGGAAATGTGCAGGTATAGCACAAACCAATTTTGACTGTTATCAGGTGGATGTTGAGAGTTGGCTGCCCTCAGTTTCTGGTAGAATTACACAAGAAAGGGGTGGTCAGTGGGGCAGGGCAGGGCAGGATGGGCTTTGTGCTCCCCCTGAAGTGGAACACCCTTGGCTGAGTGTGCTGGTGAGGCTGAGGTGGGTGGTTGGAGCTCTCAGATTGACCTTCCCTCTGGGTGAGCAGCTATTGGGGGTCTCTGCAGTGAGGAGCTGGGCTTGGTTGGCGTATTGGTGGATTATAAGGGTCCAGAAAGCTAAGATGATCCCAGATATGGGGGCAAAAACTGGAGTAGTTTATTGAACACATGAGTGCAATTTAAAGGTCTTGGAGGCTGGACATGTTAATGAGGAGGATGAGTTATGTTAATTAGGGGATGTCTCTGTGTTAACTAGGGGATGTCTTTGTGTTAACTAGGGGATTACACAGGTTTCTGCTACAGTTACACAATTGCTTAATATTTCCCTTAACCAGGATTACATGGGGGGGAAGAAAACAAAGGGGTTTCAACTCGGTTTGATAACTTCATCTCAAAGTCCTTCCTTATCCTGCTGCAGGAGCCAGGTTAATCCACATGGTTGTACATCAACAGGTCTTGTGAGGAAGGTCCAGTCCTTCAGGTTAAGGGATTTCTCTCAGCCTCTGTTGCCCCAGGGGTACTGCACAGACCCTAGCAGTTCTTTCTCTGCAAGTATCCGAATTTTGGACTGCAACAGTGGATGGATGCCCCCAGCCCAGGAGGGCACAATCCAGATACAAAGGAGTTCTGGAGGGCACAATGCAGAGACCAAGCTCCTCTTGGGCTGTGAGGATTAATCAGCCTGTGGTTCATTAGTGGCACCTCTGACGTTCAAAGCACTCTCTTGGCCACGGGGCAGAGGGAGACAGAGCCCTCCTGTCCTTGCTGCTTCCCACAGCACTGGGAATCCATCCCATGGATTGATTGCAGCTGTCAGCCCGGAATCCATCTGTCCTCATTAGAGGAGGTGGGTGTGAGCTCTGCCAGAGAGGTATCCCTGTGAGGCAGCACTGGATACTGCACATTTCCAGCCCCCTCCCGGGTCCTGGTCCTTCAAACATGGGAGAAGCACAGGCAATCCCAGCTGGGCTGAAACACAGCTGCCTTGTGGGAGCTGGAGCATGTGAACAACAGGGATCTTAGGAAAGATTTAGGCTTGCCTGGGGGAGGCAGGGTTGGTTTGCTGCCTCTGTCTCTGCCCTGATGCCTTGTGAACAGGAGAGAAGTGGGCATCTCCTTTTGCCCCTGTGTCCCATTCTGCCCTGTTTTCTGGCCACGTGGCTCGGCTTGACACAGCAGGGCTGTCTCTTGATTTCCAAGCAATTGGAAAAGCTGCTGCTGTTTTATAACTTCCAGCTGTTAGCAGTGATAACAACAAGAGGGCAGTGGGCTGTGTGCATGCCTGTGCTTGCAGGATGCCTTCCCAGCCTCCCTTGGCATTGCTGTTTCCACACTGATGGCTGGGAAAGCTGGAGATTTTTCATGTGATTGGTTCAGGGCAGGCAGGAGAAACCTGAAGCGCTTGTAGAGAGATCTAAGAGCACGTGTGGTATGTGAAGACCTAGATTTGGAGTCCCAGGCTTTCAGCAGGTGGCACAGGGATCAGTGGCAGTGTCTGCAAAACTGCCCCTGGAGGCACGTTTGGCATCGGCTGGAGCTGCTCGCTCTGGTCCTGCCTGGTCCCTGCTGGGACCTGCTGGGTGGTCACATCTCCTGGTCAGAGGATAAAGCCTGTTTTCCTGCCTATGGGTCTGCCCAGTGACAGGACACTGCTGTCAAGGCCTCAGAGAGCCAAACCTGGTGTCTGATAGGCTGTGTGTTGTCTGGAATATGTGGAGGTCTCTCCATGAACCTGACACCAGAGATGTTCCCTCTGCTGTTCTCAGGGGATGCTCAGGTGCTCACTGGGGTCCCAGTGTGTTTTGTCCATGTTCCTCAGTGCTAAACCAACATCTGCTGGACTCCTTGTGTTTGCTTCCAGCCAAGGAGCAGATGTTTCAGGGAGGGATAAAAACTGGTCAAGCTCAGCATGGTGCTCCCTTGGTGCCATCACACCTCATGGCCATGGAATGACCTGTATGAGTCCAGCTTTCTTGGGTCTTGTGGAGGATTTAACCCTCCATTCCCTGTGTGCCAGCAGGGAAAAACTCAGCCTTAGTGTTGTCAGTGCAGGGTGAGTTAAAAAGCCAACAAACCAAACCTGGAGAGCAAACCAAACCTGACCAGCAGTACAAGCTGCTGTCTCCTCAGAGGGGTTTCCAGCTCCTGGGGTGGGTTCCCTGGAGCGTGGGCGGGTGGCACATGGACACAGTGTTCCCACTCCTGGCAGTCAGTCCCTGGCTGTGCTGGCTCCCCAGGAGCAGGGCTGTGGCACAGCTGGGTGGGTGGCACAGTGTGCAGGCACAGCACCCCTCAGGGGGATGCTGGGCTGGGAGGCTGGGCCGGGCGCTGCCGCTGTGCTGCTCTGTAAATGTCAGCGAGGAGAGCACGGCACCACGGCCCAGGGAGGGGCAGCCTCCTGAAAAATGAGCCAATATAAAAGCTGTTTATTGCTCCCCACTGAGGGGCCCTTCGTGCTGACCTTTTGCTGCTGAAATGTCAGGACAAACAGGCTGGAAGGCTTCCTGTTGCTCTGTTTGGGGGTGGGGAGAGGGGCCCTGAATGAAAACAGATTTGCCATTTCCAGGCTCTGAAATTAGCAGAAATCCATATGGGGTTTTTGTTAAGGAAGCAGTTTGAGCTTGACACTGTTCTGGCAGTAGAGCTGGGGCTGGAACTGCTCCACTTAAGGGCTCAGGGAGGCAGGCAGCCCATCCCACTGCTCTGCAGGCAGGGTAGGGGCAGCACTGCGAGAAAGCTTTTAGCAGTGCTGCCCATCCCTCTCTGCTGCTCCACTGCCAGGCCAGGGGGTTGTGACAACAGGAGAATGGAGATTACAGTCATATTGCCCCTCTGGGTAGCACAAGACTGCAAAATCCTGGATACTAATAATGTGTTTTGCAAATCTTCTGGTCTTTTGAGGGATGGTGGCTCGGGGGACTTTGCAGAGGATACTCAGTTCAAACCCAGGATTGCTGATAGAGGCTGAGCAATCCACGTGTGCTGGCCCATGGGGTGGCTGTGGGGAGGAGAGACCCACAGATGCCCCAGGAGCAACCTGTGCTGCTAAAACTGGCTCAGTTATGCATCTGGTCATTCACAGAGATTTTTTTAGCAGCACTTTTCCCCTCCCTCCTCCACGTCTCCCCAGGGCTGAAGGTTGCAGTCCCTATGGTCTGTGTGGGAAGGTGGAGTGACTGGCCCACTGTCACAGAGGAAACTTGGGGCAGGAGAGGGGACTAAGCACAGTTTGCTAGTCCTGACTCAACATCTAAAGCCAAAACTGTCACCTCAGCTCTTGACAAGAATTCAGATGCTCCAAAATCTCTGTGCAGAAGATAGGATGGCAAAAAGCAGGGAAACGGGTGCTTCTCAGGCACGGAAGCAGCCACAGGAGCACGGTCCCTCTCCAGGGCTTTCTTACACTGGTGTCTGCAGTGCTGCTGCTCCTGCTTGAAAAGAGGCCAGAAAACAAGAACCAAGTGTTTGCAGAGTGGTGTGATTTATGAGGAAGGGCTTTGGTATGCATGCTCTGACTGTCCATGGCCACGGATGGAGATGGATGTGGTGTCCTTGTCTGTTGGAAGAAGTAGGCACCAAGAATCAATCAAGTGTCTGTTTAGGCACAGGCACGTATTTCTCTTTTTCAAATTGATCCATCTATTTCATCTCAGACAGACTAGGAGTGATCAACACAGAGGATGAATTATTTAGGGGAATAAATAGGAGTGATGAGAAGAAATGAAGAAAATGAAAAATTAGGCTTAATAATAGGAAAAAGGATAAGATTGTTATCTTGTGGAATATATTTTAGGGACTAATCCCACTCTGTTGGACAGGGATAGATAACATTCTCCATCACTAATGAATTTCTCCAGATTAGCATATTTTCTCCTCTCTTTGTCTTGCAGCTTGTGGACTACAGAGTGGAGTTTAGCAAGTGGTGGGTGGCAGAATTCAAGACAATCAAGTTTCCCTCTCAGGGCACAGTCTTTGACTTTTACATTGATCCAGAAACAAAGAAGTTTGAGCCTTGGTCTAAACTTATTCCCCAGTTTGAATTTGATCCAGAGGTGCCATTACAGGTAGGTGACCCCAGGTGGTTGTTTGGCTGGGAGAACATGTTTTAGTGACTGCACGGGGGTGTTTCAGTGAAGTCTGGTGAAAGGTCAGGCACTGCACGCTAAGGATGGGTACAGCTAAATTACCCATCCTCTGTACTGTGCTTTGACTGTCTCCCAAATCTGAGTGATGTACAGGAAGGGCAGGGACAGGCCACCCCAATGACCCAGGAACTGGTGTGTCCCGGGTGCAGAATGGGGGAAACTGGCTGCAGAGAGAAGTGATGAGAGACAGAGTAGGGACAAAGCCCCTGGGACACCATCTCATCATTCTGCCTGGCTGGAAATAGAGATGGGTTTATGTTTTGGCCAAAAAAAGGGTTCCTCAGGTGATGAACTGTGGTTGCCAGCTGTGCTTCCCAGCCCTTCCAGAAGTGCCACAGTGAGCAGAGAATTATAAAAACTGTCACTGCTTTAGCAAAGTGTGTGTTCATGGAGAGATCCAGCTGCTGCTCGCAGCACCAGCTGTCAGGGTTCCACCTGCAAAGATTGATTTTAATGGCTGGCAGCAGCGTGTCCTTCCCTTCCTAGTGCAGCCTGGAAACTGGGATTACCACACTCATTCCTGGCTCTCCCAGTTATACTTTTCCCCAGGTCATGTTCGTACAGACTGGGAATGAGATGCTGCTGGGAAAGGGCCCTGGGGGTCCTGGTGGTGCCAGTTGTCCCTGAGTCAGCAGTGCCCTGGCAGCCAGGAGGGACATCCCTGTCCTGGGGCATCAGGGAGGGGATTGTCCTGCTCTGCTCTGCCCTGGGGCGGCCTCACCTCAACATTGGGGCAGTTTGGGGGG